AAGGTAAAAGTTTTTGTAAAGTAGGTATTACTCCAAGGTCAAGGTCAAAGTGTCATAGTTCTTGGTATCCAATGAAATGTCTTCTTACAAGAATTACATTTATGAACTGTGAAAGCCCAAGCTCTTACCTTTCAAAAAATAAAGTAAAGGTTAAAGTTTTTAAAAAGTATGGAAATCTCCAAGGTCAAGGTCAAAAGGTCAAAGTTGTTGGTATTCAATGAAAGATCTTGCCATAAAGAAGATATATATGAAATATGAAAGCCCTAGTATGTACCATTCAAACGTTATGACCAAAGTAAAAGTTTGAAATTTTTGTGTAAAAGTGGGTTTAATTCCAAGGTCAAGGTAAAAAGGTCAAATTTGGTGGTACCCAAAGAAAGGCCTTGTCACAAGAAATACACCTGTGAAATATGAAAGTCATAGCTCCACTTAATCAAAAGTTATGGGCAAGGTTAAAGTTTTTGTGACGGACTGACAGACGCACAGACTGACGGACAGACGAATGCGATTTAATGTCCCCTCGCTTCGCGAAAGCGGAGGACAAAAATCTACTGCAAGAAATATTAATTTTTAAAAATAATCAATATGAAAAATAATTAACTTCGTCACGTTGAACAAGATGTATATCGTATCACTTTGTTTTGTTGAAAAACATGCATGTTAAAAATAAGCTTCGCTTAAACTAAATATTGTTGATTTGCTTCTTTCTTCTTTAATATCATTTGTGGGTTGTCGACATCGTAGTTATCGTGCATTCTCGGACAGATCTTCTCGGCGATATCTTTTGAAATTTATCTTTTCCACAGGGGCCTGGCATTGAGAAAACGATATTTTCTTGTCTTCACTGTTTTGCCCCCTGTACGATCTTCATCACTTAGTAATAAAATCATCTAAAACAGATTGTATTTTTCAGCTACTCCGGTATCTTGTTTTAAGGAGATTTCTATATTTACTCTTTTTTTCATTTAAAAGAGCAAGAGCCATGCATAAAATGGCCCTGTACTTATACTTGTACTTGGCAGGAAACTATTTCCTCCCTCGGGAACCATAAATTTGCTATTTCCTTCGTACACATTCCATAACTGTATACTATCACCGTTTTTCTCATTTCATATATCAAAATCAAGAAGAAACTTGGCGCTATCATTTTTCATAATAAAATTTCGTTTTGAGAATCCAGATATTGGAAAACAGGTTTGAGAAATTGCAATGTTCTTTAAATTTGCAGAAAACATGCGTATTTGACTACCTTTTGCAAAGAATTAAAATATGATTGATTGGTTAGTGTTTTACGCCGAATCGGCAATATATCAGCCATATATCGGCGATTAAAAGTAAATCATGTGACCAGTTTTTAAAGTTTTGGGTTTCTCTGACGGCTCCCAATGAGCCTACTCTTTTTCGAAGATCAGTTAAACAATCTTTTGCGTGCCAAGGGGGTTGTAATCCTTGAAGATGAGCAGAGCCCACGATTCAAAAAATAAAACATGTTTTTTTATCTTCAGAAACAGAGCTTTCATTTTGTATTTGCATACCTTGAATCAGAGATTGTGCTCTATATAAAAATATTGAAAATGCTGCTTTATCTTTAGGTCATTTTCAAAGGAATTTACAAGATATTAGGAAAATGATGCATTTTATCACGTCATAATGCATAAGCTAGATGGGAAATTACGCCACAGTTAATAGAGACGTAGTCACCAACACTCCAAGTGATAAATACTGCATTTGCAATCTAAATTGAGCGGTTTCGATTTCTCAGAAATTCTCAGGGCCAAATAAGGCCCAAAGTGACTCTTGCTCTTTGTACATTTTTCTTGATGTTCTGCACGTTATCTTTTTCTTTTTTTCATATTGTTTAGATTTTGTCTTCGATATCCTTTTCTATGTCTTCTTTTCTTAAAGTCTGCTATTGCTATTACTAGGCGTTTTATAGGACTTTGGTTAGATTTTATATCCTTGTCGGTTTCCTCCAGTTCTGCCTTACGTTTATCCAAGTTTTCGTTTATATGAAGGTAAGCACCTTTAAATGTCCAAATCTTTCATAAATTCTCATAAATAGATTATACGACTGGTTGAAATTTAAAAAGGAAAAAAAATAAACTGTATAAAAAGATTTTTTTGGGCAAAGTAGACATTCAATTCAATACAGATATAAAGAACCTGTAATTATTACATGTTTTAAGGTGTAATAATAACAGCTGTTTATGCCTATCAAAGGTTGTAATTACATGCATTTAAACTTCAGTGAACCATAATATGGATTTCGTTGCGCACCTGTTTGGAGTTCCTTGAGTGGAGCGTACATCTTTCCTCCTCGATGGTTACGTGCAATTTTTTCCTCAGTTACTTAACTTGGGAAGAATATTCTCAACTCTAGAAACAATGCAAAATTTTTTGATACTGACGTTAGAAATGTTACAAATTGCGACATGGATAAATGGGACTAAATCTCCTTCCTGTTCTTGTACGAGGGGTGATCAAAAAGTTCGCTAACTATCTCTAAAGCCACAAAAACACAATTCAGATTAGAAAAAAAGGTACACATGTAGCCATACACAAGTTCTATAAATAGCATATGCTGAATAAAGCTTTACTCCTTGTTTTTGACGTCACAATGTGAAAATGACGTCACAATGTAGGTCACTTGTGACGAAAAATGGTTTTTCAGTCGTACTTTTTCAACGAACGACTGTAAAATTTATGGTATCTTAAAAATCTCTTCGAAGTCGCGCATAATAATTTGCACATAGTTTATTATGACAAATGACTTCTTATTAATTCCATCAATGATTGGACTGATCGTTTTAGTGAAGGAAGGCAGATGGTTACACTTTGAAAAATAGCTAATATTTCAACAATAATGTAATTATTAAATTCCTAAGATATCGTTTACTTTAGATTTTAAACATATTAGATATGATAAAAAGGAGGCACCCATTTTCTCTCCACCTTGAATCAATGTCTCTCCCGAGGCAGAAGATTTTAGTTTTGATGGTCGCCATGCTTATTTTTGAAAAGGATATTCTTATCTACACAATTGGTTAACCAAATATTGTGTCTTTTATGGAATTTCGAAGTTATTCAAGTAGTTCGCGAACTGTTTGATCACCCCTCGTATATATGATTCCACCAACTGTCCTCAGCTAGAGCAAAGGGAAAAATTTTTCGTGTACAGAGACATGCTTTAATGTTTGTTCCAGGGATAGAAATCTCTCGAGAGTATAAGCAACCTTTGATGACTGAATTTGGTATACCTGGTAAAAACAAAATTCAATGATATATTCTTTTGAGTGCAACAAAATAAAATAGATTTCCTATCCATTACCTTAAGTTTCAATGATTTTTAAAGTTTCTACAAATGATTGGGCTTAACATACCTGATTTCACCTTTTCAAAGTCTTTCTCGATCATTCTCTACAAGACTCTGAGTCTAATCTAATTTTTGATAAACCATCAGGAAAATAGCCTTTTATTGAAAGATGCGACAAGGAAGTGCACTTTTCAACTTTCTTGGAATGATTCGGCTGAATTCTTCCTGTGTCACTTTATCAAAATCCTCAAGATTGTAGTCTGTATATCTTCCGACTACGTCTAATCTTGTCGTCGATTAATCATCAAAAAATCATTCATTTTTGACCTTCTATTGAATTACTCAATAAGATGATAGATTTTAATAAATTTTTTGCAAAAATGCGAATCGATTTCGAGATAAAAATTTGCCAATGTTCGAGCAAATGTCCTTAGCTGAAAAAATTATGAATTTAAAAACGTTTAAATATGTTAAATATTAATGAAGTAGTGTAGAATATTGAAAGAAATTATAATTGTCAAAACTTCCTAGACAAACGTATTGTTAAGATCGATCAATTTGTGTCTTATCTTTTAAGGACCCTCTCTAAACCAGTGCAAAATATTTTTTTGACATTGAGTAAATTATATTGAATAAAGGTGAGAATATTGAGCTTATCTGTTTAATATTTTGATATAAGGAACGTGGCATTTACCCCCAGGAAAATGTTCAAACACAACACAGTATAAGTGAACAGAAATCAGAGTTGTTTACTTCCGTTTGGAAAATACATATAAATAATATGTTCGATTCCTTTTTCTTGGTCATCATAAATATGTCAATAAGATATATCCTGATCAGCTTGAGATAAAAGAAATCACAGAGTCTGTTTCATACTTGGACATTTTACTTGAAAAAGACATAAATGGTAATATAACTACCAAGCTCTGTGATAAATGTGATGGCTCTAACATTTCTATCGTCAACTACCCTTATGCAGCAATATACCTTCATCACCTGCATACGGAATTTATATATCTCAGTTGATTCTTTACGCAAGAGCATGCTCTACATATGAACAATATCTAAAACGAGGATAATTATTGACAAACAAGTTGAAGAAACAAGAAAATCAGCAGTTAGTTTAAAGTCGTCATTTCGTAAGTTCTTCGGTCGATACGGTGACCTTATCAGCAAACACAATTTATCATTGAATAAAATGCTGACTGACGTTTTTCATACTAAATGTTGGTCCTTTATTTATACACTGAATTGACGACGGATTTTCCGTTATTCCCCGATCATGACAAGGAGATTACTTTGGGGGTGACCGGTCGGCAGGGGATGCTCACTTCTTTATGGCACCTGATCCCACCTCTGATATTTTGGAGGTCCGTGTTTGCTCTCCTCCTATTTTGTAAAGTTTTATGGACTTTGATATGGAATACTATTCATTATCTCCATACCCTTCAATTGGTCTCGTTTGATATCTAATATTTATACTTATGACAGTTCTCAAGTGAAAAGTTGATGAAGAAAAATGACAAATATTAAGAAAAAGAAAAAAACTACCGACAGAAATATTCATTTTGAAAAATAAGCAATTATATTTAAAAATACACCTCGTAAAACTGAACAGATGTATATTGTATTACTTTGATCTTGTAAAACATCTATGATAAAAAATAAGCTCTGTTTGAACTAGATATTGATTTGCTTCTTTCGTCTTTGATATCATTTGTGGGTTGTCGACTTCGTAGTTTTCGTGCATTCTCGGACAGATCTTTTCGGTGTTATCTTTTGTGGTTCCACAGGGGTCTGGGATTCAGAAAGCGATATTTTCTTGTGATCTTCTCTACTTACGTCTAACTCATCTAAATCAGATACTATTTCTTCAGCGACCCCGGCAGCTTGTTTTAAGAAGTTTTCCATTTTCACCCTTTTTTCATTCAAAACTTGAACCCTTTTCTTGATCTTCTGCACTTTATCTTTTTCTTTTTCATATTGTCTAGATTTTTCCTCGATTTCTTTTTCTATGTCTTCCTTTCTTTGTTTTAAGTCTGCAATTGCTTTTTCAAGACGTTTTATACGACTTTGGTTAGATTTTATATCCTTGTCGGTTTCCTCCAGTTCTATCTTAAGTTTATCCAAGTTTTCATTGATTTGAAGGTAAGCAGCTTGTTTTTCCTCAAACCTTTTAATGTCCACATCTAGCATAAATTCAGTAAAATAGATTATTAGCTAATAAATAGTCTCTATAAAATACTACCGAAAATCTAGAGAAATTTAGTTTTCAATATCTTAAAGTTTTTTTTGAACGCTGATGAGTTTGTGTTACCTATACGAGTATGTCTGAAACATTCCGAATACGAGCGTTCGATATCGAACGCCCCGTCGTAAACAAAAAATGTCGTCTGGTCAAATTCTTAGAGTCAATTAAAGATTTGAAGTGGCATCTTGCTAAGATCTGTTTATTTTTACACAAAAATGAAATCGTTTATTGCAAATTAAGTACGTGTTAGACCCATTAAAACCTAAATAAGCAAATCATATCGCTCGGCAGGGTCATCGGAATGATGCGATACTGAACACTACACTGTAACAGGACAGACGTTTATTTGAATACCGATCTAAAAAATCATTAATTTTAGTTTTTAAGTCGGAATAATTATTATAAATTATGTTGAAATGTTTTAGCTATATAATAAAGGAGTTATTGAACTTTTATTGAATATTGTGCATTTGAACAGCCATCTTGAACGATATTCACCAATAAAAATTCAATAACCTTATACTCCTTATTATAAAACTTGTAGAAATTTGAAAAGGAAAAAAATTAAGAGTTTAAAAAGAAGTATTTTTAAAGTAGGCATTATATTCAATGAATTTAAATATAAGGGAGCTTTAATCACATATTTTAGGTTGTATCAGTTTGAGAGCTTTTTATACCTCTCAACGTTTGTAATTATTTTAATTTCGGTCAACAATGATATGGATTTCGTTGCTCACCTTTTTGGAGTTCCTTGAGTGGAACGTACGTCTTTCCTCCTCGATGGCCAATCGCAATTTCTTCTTGTGTATCTTCATTAGGGTAGAATATTGTTAACTCTTTCGAAACGATGCAAAATATTTTAATAGTGACATTAAAAAGGTTACTAATTGCGTCAAGGATAAATGGGACTAAATCTCCTTCGTTTTCTTGTATATATGTTTTCCAGCGATCAGAGGTGATTCCACAAATTGGCCTCAGCTAGGGTAAAGGAAAAAGATTTCTAAAATTTTAGGTTTTTAAGGCTGATCTATTTCGAAAAGAACCTCATAAATAAACTAATTGGAAATGAAACGAAAGCTGCTAAGCAATTTTTCTTTGACTTTTATTTTAAAGAATATAATTTAACAAAGATATGCATTTAAAATTAGTTCTTATTCTGTAATTTAGTTAAAACATAGTTATGTTTTCGAAACTTACATTTACATCTGGACAGTTTTCGTGATATTTGTAAGTTGCCTCTTTTATTTCAGATTCTCGTTTCAGAAGTAAAATAGAAAGTGTTTTGAAAATATTTCCTCCTTCCTCTGATGTTTGGTGCAGTTGTTCTTCGGGGAAAGGGTCAAATGTCACCGCTTGTTTTTGGCATTTGTATAAATGTTCCAGAATGTATTGTCGCTCATGTTTGAGGATGATTTGTCTGTCTGTAAATAACAATAGAAACTATATTTACTCTGAGCAATGAGCTCACTAAATAATACCACACAGCTCCAATTTATGAATATAATGGCAGTGTCCATGTTTTGCTGTGGGAAACGCAAAATATGTGTCGGATCAAAAAGTAAAATAGGAGGTGCACAATGGCAATATGTAATAAAGACTGTGAGAGTTTCATCAAAATTCATTCAGTGGTATGGTAGAAGTTGCGGATAAGAGATGGGTACTCCAAAAGCGTAACAGACGGACGGACATACTGATTCTATATACCCTCCCGCTTTTCAAGCGGGTGTATAACAATGCTAAAGGACATAAATATCGTGTTGTAGGATGATTTAATTATATAGCAATGTAAATCAAAATACCTTTAACATGAGATATTTTATAAATCTTAGGGTCATGCCGTCGTACTGTAGAAGTTGTATAACAAAAAGAGGGTGATTTTAATTTGAATGATTATGTGGGCTTATCACTAAATTGTGCGCTGGCGTATACTTTTAATCGAAAGAATATCTGATACATCTGTGGTATATGAAAATATCTATTTTTTCTGCTTCTGAAAATTATTATTGAACGAAAAATTCTATTAAACAATGGAAGATTAAATATTTTTAAGTGACGAAAACTAACTATGGAATAAGGTTTTAAAATACGGTAAAATCACATTTTCGTGGGGTCAAATTTCCGTGGTTTGAGTAAAAACTCTTGGTTCGTGGGAATTTGAATTCGGGGTTGAAAAATTGTTGAGTTGTTATGTATTTAACATTTTACATTTCGTGGTGGATATGAATTCGTGGGTCTCTTCATACCTCTAAAACAACGAAAATTAAATCCCCACGAAAATTTGTGTTTTCACAGTATACCAATAAAAAATTATTCAAACTCATTATGATCTTGTTATCCTATAAAAGCTTCAAATCTTAGAATTGATATTAGCAAAAAATATCAGTAAAAAGTTTTTTTTCTCTCTTTATATACGGTCAATATTCTAGTATTCTATTTGTTTTGTATCGTTGTTTTGTAAAATGACTATTTTTATATAAATGTATGAGTAAAACAAGAAAAAATCTAATTTTCAAATCTAATGAAAATTACTGATTTTCTGAAAAAAAAAGAAAATTGGGGAAAATCGAGTATATCAATATCTATTTAATGAAATTATTTATCTTAATTTAGTACTATCATCCAGAGGCCTTATATATTTGCTATTGTCGTTTTATGTAAAAAAAAAAAAAAACATTTAATCTTTTTGAAAAGATAAAGAGATCACCTGATTGGCACTTGTATTTTTATTATTCTTTACGTAATTGAAAAAGATAATGACCTTTACCTGACCTTGCTAGGAAACTAAAACTTTCAAATTCAATCTGACTGATACTAATACTTAGTGATATTGTCTTCTTCATTTGTGCAAATTTCGTTAATGTTTAAATACAATAATATGAAAAGAATTGTACCTTAAATCGCTGTGTAACAGACTTACCTGTTGACTTATGATCATACGTTCCAAACCAGCGAACCAATGATGACCTTGTAAGAAAATTTTTCCTTGCATTATCCTGCAGGCACTTAAACAAACTAGCTTTGTTAACATTCTTATTTTTGCTTTCCTCAATCCATTTTTCCTGCTTTTCGAGTGCAGACGCTAGCATTAACGTATGTCCAAGGGATAAAGACCTCTCGTGAGTATTGGCAAACTTTGATGACTGAATTTGGTTAAAACAAAATCCAATGACATATTCTGCTTGAGTGCAGCAAAATGATACAGATTTTCCATCCATGAAATTAAGTTACAGTATTTTTTCAAGTTTTTACGAATGATTGGCCTTAATTAACCTTATTTCACCTTTGCGAAGTCTATCGAAGACAACAATAATCTTCTATGTACAAGACCACAAGTCTGATTCAAGTTTTGATAAACCATCTGAAAAATAATGTAATATTGAAAGATCCAACAAGGAAGTGCTTTTTTCGAAACTTTCTTGGAATGATATGGCTTAATTCTCCTGATGTCACCTTTCCAAAATCCCCGAATGTTGTAATCAATATCTACCAGACAACAAGTCTATTCTAGTTTTCTATAAATCATCAGAAAAAATATCAATTTTGACCTTCTCTTGAAAGGCTCGATAAGGAGATGGATTTTAATAACCTCTTTACGAAAACACGAACTGAATTCTTGATAAAGTTTGTCAAGTTTGAACGCAATGTCCTAAACTAAAAATAAAGTAAATTAAAAAAGTTAAAATAGTTTAGTTGAAAAGAAGTAATGTAAGATGGTATTGAACATCTAATGTTAAAAACATTCAAACTTATCTAACACGTTGAAGAATATTGATAAAGAAATCTGTCAAAACTTCCTAGAGCAACGGAATGTTAAGATCGATCAATTTTCTGTCTTTTATGTTTTAACCATATGCTCTTCATTCTTTAGACTACATAAGTTCTTTATTTAATTGCATTAATTTTGCTATTTATATTTTAGTTCAAATGTATTTTCATATTTGATAAGAATTAGTATTAATAAGTGTATTATCAGCAACAAAATCAGTTGAATACTGTTTGAATCTTTAAATTTCAGTGGTGATTTCATTCAAATGAAGGTTTACTATCAATTGGGTTTAGTATGAATTCTTTAAGAAATAAGGTATGATTTTAAAACTTTTATCGGGGTGTAAATACGTAATTAAATCTACAACAAACCTCTGGGCTTTATGCGAATCTATATGGGATTTGATCACATTACTTATTATACCCCCCGCTTGAAAAATGGGAGGGTATATAGTAATCGGTATTTCCGTCCGTCCGTCCGTCCGTCCGTCTGTCTGTCCGTCCGACTGTTACGCTTTGGGGTACCCATCTCTTATCCGTAACTCCTCTTATACTACTAAGTGAAATTTAACGAAACTTTCACAGAATCTTTATTACATATTGCCATTGTGCACCTCCTATCTTAATTTTTAATCTGACGTATATTTTGCATTTTCCAGAGCAAAACATGGACACTGCTATTATATTCATATGGGAGGCGGGGGTAGCATTTAGTGAGCTCATTGCTCACAGTTCCTCTAGTTTACATTATGATAAATGTGTTTAAATGTTTCCTTATTACATATATTTACATTTGTGACTGATTTTGTTTTACAAATAGTAAGGTACTTTAGTTCAAACCCCTAAATTGATACGTTATGTCAAATCGTAACGGAATAAATTGAATGTCTTGTTCACTTATGACGTCCATATTAAATTACGTAGATCGCTTTTGACAAAACATCAATTAATGGTCACATGCATATGGCGAACTTGCTTTACACAGATGTCAATACGCCTTGCTAAAATAGTGTTATACAAGGAAAAACATTTGCAGTGAAGACATTTTAAATTGAAATGTTGTTTTACGTTTAAATATTTAAAAAGATCCAATGTTATTATAAACTAAAGGTACTGTGAGCAATAAGCTCACTAAATGATACCCCCGCCTCCCATATGAATATAATAGGCGTAACAATGTTTTTTTTTTGTGGAAAACCCAAAATATGTGTCAGATCAAAAAGTAAAATAGGAGGTGCACAATGGCAATCATCTTTGCTAGCCAAGGGTGATGATCCGATCCTCTCCTCTTTTCACCCTTGGCAGATTAAATTATAAGATTTTGTAAACCCAGATGAGCGCCCCCTACTGGAAGTTCTCTTTAGCTTACGTCAACTTCAGCCGATCAGAGTTTACGTAACAGAGCAATTTTCATCAAAAATGGCTGCGCCCATGGAAAATAACATCGAAGATATTTGCAAAAGATTTAATATTCCCTCGCTGATCGAGACCGAATCAAAAGAAGGCTATGAAGGTTGTATTGGACGGAAAAGATGTTTTTGTCGGTACCAAAATGAGTAGAAAATCTCTGACTTATGAATGTATTGCAGTACTTTTTCCAGAAGTATGTGTCGTAATAATAACGCCGCTGATTTTCATGTCTGAACAGTGCAAAAAATTGACAACTCTAGGTTTCAAAGCCACTTATATAGGAAAAGACTCGAATGAAACTAGTGATTTAATAAATGGGGAAATATAATTTTATTTTTGCTAGTCCCGAACAGATGGTTGGAGACTATAAATGGCGAGATGTTCTTAAATCTGACGTCTACCAGCGAAAATTGAGAGCTATTGTAGTTGATGAAGCACACACAGTTATTCAATGGCAAGTGATTTAAAATTACTGGCTGGAAGTTAAGTTATATTTACAAATTATAATATAATGGTTTTCAGAATAAGATACTGTGTTAAAAATGATATTACAGCAACAGCGGGGCCAACCAACAGAAGAAAAATCATGAATCAATTGTGTCAAAAATTGTTTTATGAATTTCCTATATTGATGGAAAATGTGTTTCCTTGACAACACTAAAAGAAAAGATGCCATGTCATGTTATTTTTTGCGAGTCAATCTCCAAAAAAAGGAGAGGAGCGGATCGTCACCCTTGGCTACCAAAGATGAATGGCAATATTTAATAAAGTTTATATTTTCAAATTTCATTCAGTGGTATGAGAATCAGATAAGAGATTGGACCCAAATGTAACAGACAACAGAACCTTTTAGAGAGTGGTTTTCATCTTAGTTTAAAATGGAGAGAGCATGTTTATTTTGTTCACATGTTGTGAATATATATATATATAACAATCAAATTTTCTTGTAACATTTAAACATGAAATGTTAAGAACATACCAACAAAACCTATTAGAATACCTTTAGGAGCTGTATATTGATTGATTAATTGTATGTTGTTTAAAGTCCCATTCAAGAACTCATACAGAGACATCCCAATGTACCGATGAATGGCTTCAAATCTTCACTTTTACTTGGCACCTACGGCCATTGAATAGTGAGGGGTCTTTATCGTGCCAACGTCTTCCATCACACGAGGCCTCAGTTTTTAAGGTGCTGAGTTCCTTGCGAAGGGTTACATGTAGTTGCTACCAAATTTTTATCGATTTGGTTCAGTCGCAGCCGAGATTCGAACTCACAAAAGCAGTTCGAGCGCTCTACAGACTGAGTCACCGTGAACGATAACGGTTCAAGAAAAAAACAATTGAAAGTTACATGTCAGATATTCTTTTCAAAATTAATGGTTCACAATTTTTTAATAACATTTTTTAATGTAATGGTACTATGCTTATTAAAGGGTACTTGTGTGGTTTTCATTGCGCAATACTTTTCGCACCATAGTAAAATTAACGTTTTCATTTTATTTGTAAAGCAGTTTTTTACCTTATTAATAAAATAGAACAAAATATTAAAAAATTATTAAAAGAAAAATGATTTCCAATTTAAAAAAATTGTTTTTTTTAAAACCACTTTTCAACTGAAAGGTATGTTGACGCCAAAAGAGTGTGTTTTTTACGTTATGATGGCGTTCTTAAAGGAGGTGTCATAAAAATGTAATGAAAGGAAAAGTATTGAATATAAACTGTTGAAATTTAAAACATGAACATTTGTTAATCTCTTTATTATTTTTATTATTTTTGAAAAAATACTTTGTATATGTCATATTTTAGTAGTCCAGAAAAAGAGGGAAATTTCATTAATTTTGACACTTTGAGATGCCACCTTCATAAACAAGACAGTAGAATTCGCGTTTCTTATACATAATTACAATATAGTACTACCTATAATGCATTATAATTTGAGCAAATGTCTATTGAAGTTTTCTATAATGTGCTATAAAGGAAGAAAAAATTGCACTTTCTGTATACATGTAATCTTGTAGTAAATGTACCTGTCTCTTAAGACGCTCTTAAAAGTTACATGGACAGTTGATTTTCCCTAAACTTGGTATGTACCCTAAAGTTAATTTTAGTTACATATTGTTTAAAATTAAAAGAGTTTTTCTATTGTAGTTTTTGCACAAAAGCCCAGTCGGCTCCCACAAACAAGAATTACAGGATATCACAAACATTCGTTCTTCAAGAATATTTTTAATACATGTATATATATATGAAATCAGTACACATCTGAATTACAGATTCAGCAAATTAATAATTACCTGAACTTAATACAACAACTTCCATATCCATTGATAAATTATTCATATCTATCAAAATTATATATCATTCTTCAGATACGAGGGCTGTTCGAAAATCTTTGAGACATTTGCTTTTATTCCATAAAGACAAGATATAAGTTGATAAAAATTCGACATAATGACTTTAAACAAGACTGCTGATATTCTTGTTTTTACCAACTTTTTTGTTGATAATTTAACCCATTTTAGAAATTCTATGCACGTTAAACATGCTGGTGCATATCTAATCAACTTAGAGATATAAACCCCGTATGCAGGTGTTGAACTGAGGTATACTGCTGCATTAGTATGGGATGATGACGATTGAAAAGTTAAATGCATCACGTTTATCACAAAGCTTTTTTAATTACTTTTAACGTCTTTGTCACGTAAAATATCCAAAGATAGGTGTCAGACTCTGTGGTTTCTTTTATCTCAAATTCACCGGGATATATCGTATTGACATAAGAATGAAAATAACCATAAGAAATCGACAATATGTCGCCAATATATCTTAGTGTCGAGTTCAGGGCACAGCAAGTGTTTTTTTTTTCTTTTCACGTATAAGATTTTGGGCAAATTCTGCTTCAGTTAAGTTTTTCTCTGGTTAGTCTTTGCACACAGCGACAAACTTTGCAAAAATTAACAAAAATTGTTATATACATGTACTTTATACAAGGGTTGTTCGAAAAGTTCGTGGACGATGTCAATCTTCGTTATATTACTCACTAGAACTTTAAAATAAGCACATTATTTTATGTAAAAATATTTGTTTTGTGGATTTGTGAAGTTTCATTCAATTCAATTTAATAGAAATCAATTCATTTAATTTTAAAATCAACATGTTTTGTACCCGCCGAGCACACTTAAGCGCAGTGTAACGTCAAAATTTCAAGAAATACCACCCATATACATTTCACACAGTATAATGCAATTTCCATTCATTAAATCCTTTTTTCTACAGAAGCCCGTTGAGGCCAGTTCAGAGAAAGAAATATTTTTAATTGTTTTTAATCGCAATAATTATTGCGTTTAAACGCAAAGCATTTTACGTTTAATCGCAAGAGATTGCGTTTAAACGCAATGTTTTGCGTTTAAATGCAATAATTATTGCGATTAAACGCAATTATATTTTTGCGTTTAATCGCATTAATTTTTGCGTTTAATCGCAATAATATTGCAATTAAACGCAATAATTTTTGCGCAATAATATCGCGATTAAACGCATTAAATTTTTGCATTTAAACGCAATAATCTTTGATTTTAAAAGCAATCATTTCTATTGATCTTTGAAGAGTGCAATTGACCCACACTGATACATGTATGTAGTAACCTATGAGGAGAATTGTGTATTGTTAAGCTTCATAGAATCAGATTCTTCTGAACAAGCATTTTCTGAATGGTTAAATCAAAAGCCTGTAACAGTATAAAGGGCTTAAGGAAACAACCGATAAAATGTTTCGACTTATGTACATATTATGTGTGTGTATATTCACAACCTTTCCTTTGATCACATACAGTAAACACGAGAACACAAGAATTTATGAGATGGAATCATGTGCAATCAAAAATAAATCAAATAAAACAGCAGGCTTGCAATTGGGGTCAATTACTTTGAAATGTAATTAATTACTTTCAAATACATTGATAATTTTCTCAATACTTGCAATTACAATTACATTGATTTTTTCAAATGTAATTACTTTCAATTACTTTGACAAATGTAATTAAATACATTTCAATTACTTGAGTTTTATTTAAAATATATATATAATTATATATATATTATTTTTTTGCAAAAAATAAGACTTTTTCGATAGTGAACTTTTATTCAGTGTTTTTCTTCTTGGGTATGAGAGGGGTTTACACCTGTGCAAATTCTTAAGACCTTTACCTAATGACTTGGGCAGTGTGACACACTGTATAAACAAATTTAATTAAAAACTATGAGACACTTAATTATTGTACAAACACAAGCCAATGCTACACTCATAAGTATGGTGTATGACAAGAAGTTTGTTACTTTCTCAAACCCATATTTTTTTAATAAAATAAATTAATATTTTTTTCACAACTCTTTTCATCATTTTCTATCTTAAAATGTGTAGAATACATGTAAATCTAAAAAGAGATGTAGTTTGTCTAATTACTGTAACAACAAATTTACTATCTAAACCATCTATTGTTACTTGCAAGTGGGAATAGGTAGAATTGAGATTTTTAAAAAGTGGGAATGGGTAGAATCAACCCAACAGTTTAAAACTGTGTTTCAGTATATTAACTTTTTCTAAACTTTCATTTTGAAAAAAGTAATTGAAATGTAACTGAAAAGTAATTGAAAATACATGGCCTTTTTTGAAATGTATTTAAATACATTCAATTATTTGTAATTGAAGGCTCCCTCAAATACAAATTACTTCCAATTACTTTGAAAAATGTAATTAATGACACTCAATTACAATTACTTAATTCAATTACCCCATCCCTGGAAAACAGATTGGCCGATGTGTTCTACCAAATTGATATGTTTATTAATACCACTGAAACATTCTTAATTAGCTGTGATACCTAAGGAATTGATTAATGGTTAATATGTGTTAAAAGTGTTTGGCTCTAATAGCTATAAGAAACTTGGTTGTTAGGATGCCATTGTTTAACTTAAAATCTCACAAATTGCAACATTATCAAAAAGACACAAAACCAAACGGCCCTCCTTTAAAGAATCGGACCTTAGTATTTATTATAATCTTTGCATTTAAATACAAAAAATTATTGCGATAAAACGCAAAAAATAAATGCGATTAAACGCAAAACTTATTGCATTTAATCGCAAAAATATTGCGTTTAAATGCAAAGTTTATTGATTTTAAATGCAAAAATTATTGCGTTTAAAAGCAAAAATTATTGCAATTAACGCAAAAATATTATTGTGTTTAAACGCAAAAATTATTGCGTTTAATCGCAAAAGTATTACGTTTAAACACAAAAAATTGTGATTAAACGCAAAGTAGTTTGCATTTAAACGCAATGATTATTGCGATTAATCGCAATGATTTGCGCTTTTAACACAAAAATTATTGCGATTAAACGCAATAAAAATATTTCTCGCTCTGAACTTGCCTCACTCGTGAGAACTTACTATTTTTCAACAAACTGAAATTGAAAGTTGCAAAGAAATTATCAAGACATTCTGTGACGCAATGTTACTCTCTCTGACTGGCTTCCGTATTTTTCTGATACTTGACATTAATTTTTCTAAGAATTGCTCTAGTTGTATGATTTCCTTTGTTAAGGTTTTAATTTCTTTTTTATTTAACTGCGCTTTCACAGGATAAGCAACTCTGAAGCACTTATGTTTTTCCTTGATGTTCCAAGTTTTTAACGTTCTGTTCGGATTTTTACAGTAACTGTTAAACTGTTTCTTCACAGATCATCCACATCCGATACAGAGTCTATGTCACTCAAATACTGTCTGTACTATATGCCCAACTTGCTTGTGACACATTTTTTTGCTTCCTTCAACATTTTTAGAGTTTATTCCGGATTTTTCCTGAGTAAAACACAAAATTGCATCTTTATCGGCTGCTCCGTGACGTTTTAAAACATCTTTTTTGTCATTTTTAATAAGGACTACCTATCTTCTCAAGTTGATTTCTTTTCAACAAAGCAAAATATAAAATCATAATTTGGTATACAGATCTGTGTAACAATTCCTAATTTGAATTTATAGGGGGTTTTTTTTTCGTTTTTGACTCCATTTTACAGAGAATATGACAACAGGCATTATTTGGTGCATTGTCTGTAACTTAATAAATTATCCGAGATCCGATTTTTGCATTTTTAAAAACTGGATGAGTTTTGAATTAATCGCACTCTTTTGAAAAAAATTTATACTAATCATTTGGATTTATGTTAAAATATTTCTACAACATTTTGATAACATATGACGTCAAATAAAAAAAAATATGACAGTTGTCCACGAACTTTTCGAACAACCCTTGTATAATAAGACAAATCGACAAGAAAAACAATTATTAAGTTAGCAATATTGGCTAAGCAGTTTACTTTTTTGTGAAACTTTCTTCTGTTTTTAGGCATTGATTGCAATTATTTTTTAAAAATATTGTAAAGAGAAGTGTATTAAGGTTGGTCATTATGATAATTATGTCTGTAAAATGTGAATTAGCCTGCCAAAGACATCAGCTACAGCATTCCCTGTGAACACTATAAAGGTGTAGCATATACGTTGTACTAACATTGTTTGGGGAATAGAAGAAGTAAATAAACATTTAATGGACATTTTTCAATATGTTAGAGGGTTTAGGTATGTATCTTTCAGTGGTTCATCGTATTCGGTATCGAAGGCGTCATCAATTGAGCAGTACACATCAGAAACTGGTCTTTCTGGTAAATCTCTGCTATCTGTCATGTATCCGCCATTTTTAAATGTTGCATAGATATTATTTCGAGCTGCGGGGGCACTTTGGTATTCTTGTCTGTAATAGAAATATCCCTTTTTCAAAAGTTGTATTTGAATAAACAATAGTTATAAATCATGTTTAATTTAATGCTTCTGTTTTTTTTTTTCAAATACAGAGTTTGTGATAAATAGCAATCAAAGCGGAAAAAATTGATAAATTACAATAGTATCATAATTCCCCGGGCGCATAAAAGTAATAGTGATTATAATTATGTATGAATTATAGTGTTTATTTTCAGTGTTTCTGATTCATATAAATATAATACAAGTTAAGTATAATATATGACATCCTATAACCTGTATAACCTTACCCAATAACTTGTGATTTTCTGCGGTACAAAAAACAAACAGTTGCAATTATTACAATGGCGATGACGACAATGCCTGCGGCCAACATTCCTATGTACGCCATTGTTTTATCCTCACTCATAGATGTGCGTGCTGTATGAAAAGATGCATGATATAATTCAGTGGTAATTAAAGATAATAAAATTTGAAGCTGTGCATATAGAATTTAATTTTTTTTTATTTGGATAGATTTTTTCTACTTTAGATACAGAATTAGGTCAATTTATTCAATTTAGTGAAAATATCATTATTATATATGTAAAATCTCGAATATTGATAGTTTTGTGCAGATCTGGTTTTTGGCAAAACATATATAATTATATAACAAGCCAAAAAGCAATTACATAAGTGAAGAATACATCTGTATTTACTTACAAGAGCTTTGTACGCAAATATTATCGGTACGTTTGTCCCATAACCCCTCCGTTGTGCAGAATAAATGTGGAGAATTCATTATAAACCCTTCATGGCATACTACGTCACATTTTTCTCCAACATTTCCCTGACAAAGGGACGTCAAATTACCATTTCTTATTTCTAGTGGACAAGATGTTTCTAGAAGAAAACCATCGTTGTTTTTTATGCATAATCTTGTACCACTCTGCTTTGCATTATAATTCGTTACAATAGTTTTGTTCATATTTAACCAAAAAAATGAAACACTGACATTGAAGAATAAAAATCACTTCTAGCTTTGCCATTTTGAATTAGCGGTATTAAAGAACGATCTGTGACAAGTAAAGAAATTATCTAACGTTTGCATAATTCGTTGATATTTTCGCCCCAAAGGCCGTCTGCTGTGCACACAATACTAGAAGAAGGAATCGTAGATTGATGGCCACTGACACATGTAAATGAACAGCTATATCCAACTTTTCTTTGACAATCTGATTCTAAGTTTCCATTACGAATGGTTGAAGAACACAGTTGTACTAGATAGGATACAAATACACATATATGTATATGAGCAAAATGTCACTACATGAAAAAGAAATCTCGAAGGGATCGTTAAACAACTAACAATTTATAAATCATACATTATGATTTGCTTCCGAATAAATATACACTACATGTACCACATAAATCGTTTGTATCGTGATCCCAGTAACCATTAGCGTTGCAGGTAACATTAGGAACAGCTGGATTGGTTTTCAACGGATCACTGCAGTCATACCGACATGTGTCTCCTAGTTTGGATTCGCAGTTGATGAGTTGACCATTTCGTATTGTCTTTGGACAACCTGAATCTGATCATAACAATGAAGTTGATTAATTTTCGAATTCGTTTTGGAGAATATTCAATGAAGAAGATAACTTGATAAAAGATGTTATTGATTGTATTCAATGAATTTTATGTCCTATAGATACTCAAGAATAAGGATTCATTCTTTTAAAGGATTAACTTAGCCAAGGGAGCTCAATTTCACAAATTGGTGAAGAATTACAACATCAGACATTTTCAATAGGTTTTACTTGCTAAATGACCGAAAATAGAGTTCTTGTTTCGCCCCTTTCTAGGGTCAGATCATAGACTTTTAAACAATAGTTTTTATAAATTTTGTTGTAAACCTACACGTTGTATGCTCTTGCAAACAATTTGCCATCTACATATCAATAAATAAGCAAAATTATTTTAATTCAAAATATTAGCATTTTAAAATTTTAAAATAATTAAAAATTTTAAGATAATTATAGAATTAGCCCACCAAGGGAGTATTGGGAAGCCATGAAAGGATAATGCTTCGCAAAAGCTAGAAAAAATACTTTTCATTACATTTTATTTTCTAAATGCAACCAAAATGGCAATCATATACATACATGTATTGCATTGATATAAAATTATCAAACCTATTGCCTTTAAAAAGCAGAGAAATATAAAGATTCGACACATTTTTTTAATTTAGGAATCTGCAATTTAATGTTAAAAAAACTTGAAGAATTGTTTCTCCTTCAGAGCTAACTTGGAAAAGTTTAAATGTTTTAAAAATATTTTCATCAAGTCACCCCATATTCATGACTATCTTTATGTTTAACGAATTATTTGTTCTCCGTACGTATGCACAGGTTTTGAGTGTCATGGTCCCAGGTGCCGTCACTGGTACAAAGCAAACTCTGTGAGCTTGTGGAGGTGAAACCTTCAGCACATTTGAAACTGCACGAATCACCAACTCTCCGAGTGCAATTTGATGACAATGCCACATTTTCAATAGAGGATGGACACAATATTTCTATAAAATTTAGAGAACATGATTGAAATATCTTTTTTCAAACAAGAATAATTCAAACCGTTTTCATTAAAGGCGGTCATTCAGCACATATTTAATGACACATACATTTTATATGAAAACACACACACACACACAGAGAGAGAGAGAGAGAGAGAGAGAGAGAGAGAGAGAGAGAGAGAGAGAGAGAGAGAGATGTATTTGAGGTTAATGTTCTTCTTATTTGACTCAACATTAATTTAACAAAAAAATTTAATCCTATGTAGGATTAAAATCTTAAAATGTTCCTTAGTTTTTCGTTGTGAAATAATTCATAATCTCACCGGTACACAAAGAAGATGGAGAAGGATTCCATTGGCCAAAAGTATCACAGGTTATTGACGTATTGACATCTAGTCTGTATCCTGCTTTGCATTCTATGTCGCAAATCTGCCCAGGATATGGAAGACAATCGAGTAAATTCATATTTTGCAGTGAGGTGGTACATCGAGATACTACAAAAAGTAGACATATTTTTTAGACTATGAAAAGATAAAATATCCGTGACAATACATATATGAATTCCGTTTATTCACTTCCAAATATATCATTGTTGAATTATTTAATGATTTAGAGTGAATGAATAACACGAACCTCCTTCACAAGTTGTTTGATCCTCTTGTAAATTTACAAAGTCTTCACATCCACACGTTCTTCCTATTGGTGTTGGAAAACAGAATGTACTACATCTACCGTTTTTCTGAGAACAAATTGTACTCACTAAAAAGAATTGAGATGGTGATTGTTACAGAAACTAAATTCTTTAAATTGCATAATTTTCTTGAATGTATCGTCTATAATATTACCGTCAATTATATCGTCTGCATATATAGCAAGACTGTCAAGTCGACCAAGCTCAGGATGGTTTGACATGAATGGCATCTTAGATCCAGTTGTTTTATGCATTTTTGTTATCCGTCTGCATAAATATAGTAAAACACTGTGTTTTAGCCATATTACAAAATCAACTAGTTTTAATTGTAACAGGGACCGTTATAGGTGTTCCCCAAACGCTCATCAACTCCATTTTTGTGCCTTTTTCCCGTAAGACTTTTTTTTTAAAATGTGCTCAGTATCGAAGGATTTCATCAAAGAATTATAAAAGCTACAATAATATCAACTTTATGTCATTTTACGCTTTGCAGGCGCACGCACGTGCATGCTCATGCAAGATGATCATAGCATGTTGTCCAAACCTTTAGCATATCTTTATATCGTGAGAATTAATTTAAAAAATCATAAAAATATAAATGTTACCGTTTTTCAAATATATATTAGTCATTTTACGAATTGTGTGTGCGCACATGCATGCATGTATGTCCCTGCATTCAATTTAGATAGAAGCATAATGTAGGAATCCATCATGCCTTTTCATATTCAAAATTTCATCCTGTTTAAGTTTTGTTGAGAACCAAGAAAGTTATAAGCATTTAAAGTTTCAGCAAATCAGATTGCAGCACAAGTGCATTTGCATGCTTTTATGATAATTATAATACAACATACTACAGATCTTCATAATGTATGACTATGTTCAAAATTTCAAAGGATTTTGTCAAAAAAAAAAACCCAGAAATATATGGATACTTTAGTTTCAGCCAATCAGAATGGCCCGCACGTGCATGCGCGTGAGATCTTGCTATTTTGACTATGTCATCTTGTCTATACTTCTAATATATCCTTACATTTTGATTTTCAAAGTACAGGGTGTTTCGCAATATATGTCACACATCTAAGGACAGATAGATAAATGACAACAAAAGCTACGTATATATTTTATATATCATTTTAATCAGGATATTTTCAAAATTATTTTTATCCGTCAGAAGTATCCAACATTCTCAACTTCAGTTACTATGGCAACAAATCCTATTATGTTAATCTTGAAGTATTTTCCCAACATTGTCTTAAACTAGAGGTACTGTGATCAATGAGCTCACTAAATAATACTCCGCCTCCCATATGAATATACAGAGGATATCTATATTATGTGATTTGATATTTTAATCTAGTTTTCAAGGTATAATAACTAAAGAGACTAATGTTTAGAAATTTCTGTAGGACAACTGTTTTGTAGGTTTCCTAGAATACTTCTTGTTTTTTATCTGGCTTTTTAGAACCCCCAAATTGCATATCTTTTTATCATCTAATGTTGCATTTAAACTAGATGCACTGTGAGCAATGAGCTCACTAAATGATACCCCGCCTCCAATATGAATATAATGCCAGTATCCATGTTTTGCTCTGGAAAATCTAAAATATGTCAGATCAAAAAGTAAAATAGGAGGTCAGAAAATATGACAAAATGTAATAAAGATTCTGTGAAAGTTTCATTAAATTTCCTTCAGTGGTATGAGAGGAGTTGCGGATAAGAGATGGGTACCCCAAAGCGTAACAAACGGACGGACAGCTATACAGACGGACGGACATACCGTTCAACTTTTCGGGGGATATAATAAATGTGTCGTTTCGAAACTACCAGTATCTTTTAATTGGTGTCCAATCCTTTCGCTCTTCCTTTCAATCCATCTTGCAAACTTTAACCGGCTCTGAACGTCAATTGGTTTGAAATGCCAGAATCTTGTATGCAGACACACTTAACTCAAATTTAAGATTTCTAAATACGCTTGATACATATACTGGCAGTGTTACAATCCATATCCCCAAACTTGGATAACTTTCATAAGGTTTCCCAATGATTGACTTCACTATTATATTGTTCTCATCTCTTCTTGATTTTTTTTTTGGGGGGGGGAGGCAGGAATTAACTGTCTTCCATCTTTACATTATAATTTAGTTTAAACCCTCTAATTATTCTTTTAAATATATGAAAACTAGAAGCAGTTTTTGGCCTGGATATTTTTTCACAATCTGTACAATATTTAGGATATCGTTCTTATAATAAAAGTTTACCACAAATTTTTGCTTCAAGTTGTACTCCATATTTAGAAAAGCTGAAATTATGCCATCACTGATTATTTCATCAGTTACTTCATGGTATATCAGAATTTCACCAATACTTTGCAATGTCATAATTTTATATCAATATGCTTACCTAGTGTTTTGGTATTTTTAGTATCATGCTCGATATTCAGGTTATGCCCATTTAGATGTGTGATATATATTGTGAAACACCTTGTGTTTCATAAAAAAAATTAACAGTTACGCCTATATCAATTAAATTGGCCATTTCTCGTGTTGCACGTGTGGGCTAAATGACCTTCATTCCGCAAATCTATGTAACATGCCTACTGACCATAAAAAAAGTTTCACCATAATCAGTTGTGTAGTTTACAAGATCACTCGCAAACAAAATTTTCCCAGGAAGAAAAATAACTAGAAAGTCTGCTATTGCAAGTAATAGCGTATGTCGCCTTGAACTGGACAAGACTTTCATTTTTTGTATCACTAAAACAATACCCATTAGCTATGCTTCGAAAACCATCAACTCATATCAGTCCTTTCAGTACATTGATTTAAAAATCAAAGTTAAAGAATATTCACTTTCCCCTGGTTTCTATGGCAATAATCGATTATTTTAAAATTTTAAATGCGAATCGCACAACAATTACTAATCACTAAAATAAAAAAGGTTTCATGACGAATGTTTAAGTGACAAGAGAGAACATTCGCGGACAAAGTTCGTCGCTTTTTGTAGGTTTCTATGGCAACGGTAGCCATTTTGAAACTGAATGACCACACAATACAACTACAACTAGTAATCGTTCTTTGAGGAAAGTTTCAGGAATAGGGTTCCAGTCATCACTGAGAAACAGCCAGGAGAACATAAATTAAAACAAGAGGCCCATGGGCCTTATAGGTCACCTGAGTATTGTGTAACAACTTTCAAACAATCAAATTTGGTTATGTTTTAAACCAGAGGCCATGAAATTCACAAATCACAATATTGAAAGAGGCATAATTGTTTATCAAAATTATTAACTTAGCGTGCTTACTCTATTTACTTAATACCAAGAGGTAGATCAGAGTAACAAAGAGAAAATGCCCTTCCACTTTATACCCAGTTGTGCATCTCACCCCAAATGAACCACTGACCCAGGGGCCACATATTTCAAAATTTTGCAAATTTTATCATAAAATGGTTGATTAATACCAAAGAGCAGATTTCAAAGCATTACAGGTGTAATTTATTTTCAGACTCTGTACCCCCCCCCCTTCTGACCCAAGGGGCATAAAAAACCACTTTGCTAGATGCACCTTTCTTCATCATAAATATATATACTTGGATTATTGGCATAAAACCCAAAAGCAAAGGAAAATATTTTCAAAGAATTAATGCACTTTCACTATATGATCAATACAGCCCCGTCCTAACACCAGAACCCCTGAAACTGGGGCCATTAAATTCACAATTTTATAGGAGGCACTCTTGCTCATCATAACTATGTACTTAATTAATTTATTTAATACCAAGAAACAGAGAAGAAGATTTTCAAAGAATTAATGCACTTTCACTATATAATCAATAGAGCCCCGTCCTAAAACCAGAACCCCTGACCCTGGGGCCATAAAATTCACAATTTTGGAAAAGGCACTCTAGCTTATCATAACTATATGCTTAGTTCGTTTATTTAATTCTCAGAAGCAGAGAAGAAGATTTACAAAGAATAAATGCATTTTCACTATATAATCAATAGAGCCCCGCCCTAACACCAGAACCCCTGACCCTGGGGTCATAAATTTCACAAATCTGCAAGAAGCACTCTTGCTCATTATAACTATGTACTTAATTAGTTTACTGTAAAAGTACTTTCTTCCGCGAGGTATTAATTTACGCTATGTACGCGGTAACAAATTTTCCGCGGAAATTTGTCCAAGTGTACTATATATAAATGTAAGACATATAGTGACAATCTAGAAAATCCGCGTGATTTTCCGACCATGGATTTAACAGAAATTGAGATTCCGTGGAATTATGACCCCGTGCGTATACAGTATTTAATATCCAGGAGCAGAGAAGAAGATTTTCAAAGAAATAATGCATTTTCACTATATAATCTATATAGCCCCACCCTAGCACTAGAACCCCTGACCCTGGGGCCATGAATTTCACAATTTTGGTAGAGGACTCAATGCTCATTACATTCATGCCATCATGCCAACAGTTTGCCTGCTTGATGTCCAGGAGTAAAGAAGAAGATTTTTAAAGATTGCAATAATTTTATTGGTTTTGGCCCAATCCCTCAGGTCCGGGGGGGGGGGGGGGCGGGGACCATGAAATTCATAATTTTTGTTCAACTTTACCCATAGATGCTGTATACCAAATTTGGTTGAAATTGGTTCAGTGGTTTTAGAAAAGAAGCTGAAAATGTTCAAATGTTAACACACGACGGACGACGACGGACGAAAACGGATAGCAATAGCTATAGGTCACCTGAGTTACTCAGGTGACCTAAAAATGCGTAGAATCGCAGAATGTCGCCCTACTTCGTTCAGGGCGACCTAACTTGAAAGTCTGCTATTGCAAGCAATAGCGTATGTCTCCACAAACTGGACAAGACTTTAATTTTTTTTTTCATCATTAAAACATTACCCATTAGCTAAGCTTGGACAACCATTAACTCGTATCAGTCCTTTCTGTACTTTGATTTAAAAATACAAATTAAAGAACTTTCATTCCCCCCCCCGTTTTCATAGCAAGTATTGACAATTTGCAATTTTTAAATGCAATTGCAATGAGCACAATTATAGATACTTGTCATTACATCAATAAAATTTCATGAAGAATGTCCAGGGGACCAGAGAGAAAACTCGCGGACAAAATTCGTCCCTTTTTGTAGGTTTCCATAGCAACTGTAGACATTTTGAAACTGTATGACCACACAACACAACTACAACCAAAGATCCTCCTTTGAGGAAAGTTTCAGGAAGTCTGTCCCAACCATTTCCGAGAAACAGCCTGGGGAAGAAAAACATGCGTACACTCGCAATATGTCGCCCCCGACTTCATTCGGGCGACATAATAATAATAGGAAACCGATGGAAAACAATATGGTCTTCCAAAGGAAGTAGGAAGACCATAAAAAAGTAAGAAACAGAGTAAAAACAATATGGTCCCCAACTTCGTTTGGGGAACATAATTACTGTAAGACAGTTTATGTCTAAGTAGAAAAACACTGACTGTCGATTCCATGCGGTATAATAGAGATATTGTCCTTGAATCACAATACTCATCAAATGTGCGTCACTGTCAGTTGTCAAGACCTGTCTATTTCCTCCATTCAAATCTGAGAATTCAATGCGGTTTTTCTGTCCATCTGTCCAATATATTCTGTCGGCTAAAATGGATATTTAAAAAAAATTAAAATGTATTAAACAGTACTTAAAAGTAAATATTTATCATTTTGTACATTTACTTACAAGTAAAATCAATTGCAAGTCCATTTGGCCACCCAATGTCAGTGGTTGCTATGTACGTTTTTGATGATCCGTCCATATATGCTCTTCCTATTTCAGTTATATTCCCAAACTCCGTCCAAAACAGGAAACTTATATAAAATGTATAAAATAATTAACAAATTTAGTTTTTTGTTGTTTTTTTTAATTAAAGAGATAAAATGATGAACAACTGTGCATTGCTTTTTATGATAAAACATACCCTTTTGACGGATACACCACAATTTCTCTTGGACTGTAAAGGTTAGACAACAAGGTATTATGCTGAAAGGTGGTCCTATGAATAACACCAATATAGCTTTGACTCGATGTTGGCCCTACCGCAGTATAGTAAAGGTTTCCAGTTGAATAATCGATCGCCAAACGGTCAGCATTGACAAAGCCTGTTGTAAAAAAAAATATAAAGTTTAGCCTTCTTCATTAGGGATGCTCATGTAAGGCTGGACAAGTAGGAAGTTTTTTTTTACAGATATATATGCATCAAATCCAGTTTCTGTCATTAAAATCAGATGTACCAGTTGCATAGATCAGAGTTTTGTTCCCTCCATGCAGTGAAGAGGACATGATATTCTTGGTAGAGAGATCGGAATGCAGAAGTTCCTTTGTACTTTTATCGAATGTTATTCCCGCGGAATTTCTTACATTGATAGGAAGCTTAACTAAATTCCCTGTAACCATGTCAATCTGCAGAATCCTCCCATGGGAATAATCAGCCACCACAATGAAATTTGCCCTGTACACATCTACCAAATATAAAACCATGGGTGCATCAGACATCGTAGGTAAATCATAAAATGTCTATAAAACGCTTTTATTTTCATGATCAAATTAAAAAGAATACGTCTGAAAAACTTACTGCTATCACATGTTTTCATATCAGGTTGAAGCAGAAGACCTAAATCACACTCACAAGTTCGACCAGTTTGTAACGGCACACAAATATCTTGACAACCACCATTAAGTAAACCACAGCTACCTAGAATATAAAGGTAGGTTAAATAAATATGCTATGATATCATAATGTTCAAATAAAAGTTTCAATTCAAAAAAAATATAATGAAACATAAAATATCAGATTTGTATTCCAAAATGACAATGAATTTTAATCATGATTATAAATGAAAACAATGAATATAGAGATGAATTACTTGATAATTCTTTGCTACAATTATAACAAATTTTTGTTAACCCCCCTAAAAATTCAAAACAATTTCTTGGGAGTAAAAAATCAATCTTAAGGAGATTAAGGAAGCTTTTAACACTGCACACTAAAGAACTCTATTTAGAGTGTAGTTTTATGCAGTTAAAGTGATCTGCCCTTAGATTTAAGATTAAAGAAATTGTCATTTACATTTAATTACATGATTTGTAGAAAATTAAAATATTTTTAGCATTAAATAAGACCAAAAGTAAGAAATTTAATTAATTTTTACATAAAATTTCCCAATGTAAGTGAACAAAAGACATTTCTGCTCACAAATAGTCCATTGTCTTTGAGCATTTTTCCTTCAGAAATAAGGCACGTACCCAATGTTCTACGTGAATGAAAAAGTATCAATATACATACATGTATCTTTATACGATATATTTTTCTCCGAGTCCAAAAAAAACAGTTTCTGTTTGTGTTTAGAGATTCCTTAAAATGCGTTTGCTATCAAAAGTCTACATCGAATATTAAATGAAAGTTCACTGAATAAAATGCTTCCCCAAAATTTAAATAGTCATGCTTATAATTTTCTCATTAAATAATTATGACTACTTTTAATTCCAAAACCAAAGTGTTCTACATTTAAGCACATTTCAGAAATGTTTTACCATATATGAGTATATCATAAAACGTTAAATTCGATTACCTCAATACCCAAAGGAAAAAACATTAAAGGACCAAGTTATCATAATAATCAGGATCGTGCAGAGGTTAAAGATTCTCAAATGCAAGTCAAACTCCAAAACTCAAGATTAAAAGTAAAATTTATTGGTACAAAGAATACATTTGTGAAATATGAAAACCCTTGTTCTAATTGTTCAAATATATATAATGCAACACAAGGACAACATATTTAACAATACAAACCTCTTTTATCCTGTTGCAGAGACGAATCGAAGACGGCAACTCCTTTGTTTTTCTCTCCAATTTCTAAATAACTCTCTGCAATGTTTGAAAACTTACTAGAGAAATACATTATGTTTCCTACTATCCAGCCAAAATAGCCCTACAAAGAAAATGCTCTTCATTAAGAATATAAATTTAATGTTACTAAACATGCATTAATAGATTTATATAGTCTTTTCGATTTTTGAGATGGACGTTAAACAACAAATGAACATATTTTTCGAATCATACTTCTAATTCCAAAAAATATACCGGTACTCACTTTTAATTTCATACTTGGTATAGAAATTTTATAATTTATCACACGTTTGTCAGAATGGGAATCATTGATATGTATTTAAGCATGACATTTAAAAAAATGACCATAGAATTGACAATAAATATATTATTTTGACAGATTTTTTACCTTATATACAAATGCCTGTGTTGCACCAAACGTGATGACGTGGCTTTTGATATCCGATCCATTCGTCAACGAACTTTTGATAATTGAGTCATCAATCCAATACAACCTTAGATATTAATTTTCTCTCATGAATTGATAATATCTTCTCCCCAGGAATCAATTTTAATTTGTCTTTTTTAAATACATTTTAAGACGTATAAAAGACGTCTTAAGACCAATCTTAGATCAATTGCGCAAATAAAGTAAATTCGGGAAATAGTTAAGTAACTTACGTGTTTTGTACCCCAAGTTAACATCATTTTATTCTAATTTATATCAAAAAACATTGTTATTATAGATTCATTAAATAAATTAATTTAAGTATCGTAGCCTCATCAGAGAGTGTTCATAAACTAACATATCATTTATGTTATTTGTCAATTCCATAATCTGTGATATAAAGTGAATTAAAGTGAATAAAGATACCAATGATTTATACAGATTGAATAATTCCATGTTAACTCTGTTTCAGTTAATTCCTTGATTCACGTACAGTGTACTTTCGATATCATACGGAGACAATTCCTACACCTTAAGGTATCCGTCCCATATAAGTACCTCACTTTCTTACCTTAAATATCAACTGTGTATAAAATACACTGATATTGTTTCAAAGAATTTTAGAGTAGAAAAGGATAAACCAAGAAAAATTTTCAAAAATGGAAATTAACTAAGCAGTAATTAACCTTTGAAGATTGCATTCAAGTCTATGGAAAAAGTAAATTATTCTTTTTAAATAAAAATTAAATTCTTAAAATAATATCAGTAAATACAGTGGAAAGATATATTTAATCATGAGAAATAGAAAATGATTGAAAAATATTTTTTCACCGAAAAGATTTTTTTAAATGATTTTTTTTATATTTAATTTAATAAAAGGGGAACAACTCTTCAAGGACAGTACAAAGTTATTGATTTGGTTTTATTCCACTCTCGCATACTGATGCTAAAACATGAAAATAAATTATTTCTAAATATAGTAATTATCCCGCCCATGCATATCTGCCGTGCATTATATTCGTTTGAATCTAGGGCTAATATATATATATATATAGGTCGGATACCTTAAACTGCAGTATAGTTTGTAATTTTATGGTGTACTGATTGCTCGTGATATCATAATAGAGAGAGCTGGGGTTATTCAGATTTGCAGTCGACACAATTGTACGAGGAGAACTTCTATTCCAGTTTCCATTCATTATGGACTTTCCTAATGTTCCCGATATCCAATAAAGGTCTCTGAAAGAAAAGAAACTGAATATTTATATGTAATGATAAAATATTTTAATGGTTATCATCACAAATAATATTTTTCTCCTCCTTTCATTCATATCTTAAAAAACTTAAAGAAATAGAAAAACTCAATGGAATGATATCTCACCCATTATGAGGGTCAACTGTTAATGACGTTGGTTGTTCAAGTCTGACGTATATTATTGACGTTGTTCCCGAGTTAATGGAAAATGCTTTTATGCTGGATGAGGCAGGCTCAATCCATCCGAGAAGATTAGTTATCCAATCAAAATTCAAATCTATGATATCCACGATTAAGTATTTAGCAAAATTACACGTTCTATAGTAAGATGATTTGATAAGAAGAGGTTTCTATGTAACGTTAAGTAGATTTTATTCAACAGTTATTATTCAACAGTTATTCATTTTTTCTTCTTGCTTCACATTACAATTGATTGGTTTTTGTATTTGAATTTTAGTGAAATTTAGTAATTAGAGACAGATGTTATGTAAATTTATCTTTAAAAACATTGTGCTTATTCTTTCGGTTTTCATAGACAATACAACGCACATGTAAATCACGTGTTTCCATTAACTGTGTGAAATCTGTTCTTATATATTGCATTTGCAATCTTTTTTGACAGCCTACCTGATGCTAATTGAATGGATGTCAACATTCTTGTTTTTAAACTGATTATGTCTAGTTCTTTCAACTCGTTTCTGCTACTGTCCACAAAATAAATGAGATGTCTGTTAGCATCAACAGTAAATGTCTGAATAATTGAGGAAGGGACTGTAATAAAGGGAAACCTTCCTTGTAGACCGTTGAGATACTGCACTTCAAACATCGCAAACGCAGTTGAATTGTGAACGATTAAGCCTTTCTCGTGGAACCAGGAGCGATCTGAAATTTTCATAAAACTATATTCTAGTATTTTTGAACGAAATTATCATTGAAAAAAAATTAACCTTTATCACGTTATTTTATCCTCGCCCAAATATCACTTATCTTTTGAGACAATAATAACTTAAAAATAATCTGATTTGTCAATACTTTTCCTCAAGCCTATCTAAACAAGTGGGAGACTCTAAATGCAAGTGCTAATGGAGTAATGTTACATAAAAATGTAATTGCTTATATATATGGAAAATTTGAGATAATGATGCTCATCATGAAGTTTAGATGTTAGGTCGTCATTAATGTACAATGTATTTTTATAGTAAAATGGATACCTATATTTAGAATCAGGCATGTAGCATCGTTTTTGAAAGTGGGGGGGCCAACCAGAGAAATTTTTTTACTTACCTGAAAAAGTTGACAAGCAAAAAAAAAACGGAAAGTTAAATGTCGCTCAAAGTCGAAAATCCTATTTCGTAGGGGGTCGTGGGGGGGGGGGAGGTAGTAGCCAACTTTTCCAAAGCCAAATTACTTTGACTTCCAATTTTTTCCATACAATTCCTTGATAACACTATACTGTGGTAAAAAGTGGGGGGCCAACCTTCCTTTCAGTGAACATTTCCTATAGTAAAGGTAATGTTGGCCAAAAAAGTAGGGGGGCCTGGCCCCCCCCCCCCCCCCCCCCCCCGGTTGCTACGTCCCTGAGAATAACATAAAGTTACGCTTTATATGTTATGCTATTGAGAACAAAATATGGTTAAATTCTTTTGTGAAAACTACATGTAAGTCATTACAAACCCGTGCACGTCATTCCATCTGAAGATAGCATGTAACCCTCAGCACAGAGGCACTTAGCACCTGCTGGAGTGTTCACACAGATATGTTGACAACTTGTACAGTCCAGTCCAATACGAAAATTCGTAATATTACAAGTTATCGTAATCTAAAACTTATATTACAATTTTTCGTAATGTAGTTAAATTACGAATACACGTAATATAGCAGATTGTAAGAGACTATATTACGAGCTTTCGTAATCCAAGACAAATTCAAGTATTGCAAGAAATTGAGTGGTGGGTAGCAAAGTATGACGTCAGTAATATATCAGATTTCACGGCTACTGATAGCACGCGGTCAGTTTGGTCAGTTACGCCTATCAGAAAGCATGGAAATTCGAGAAGAAAGTACCGCCAGCGATGGGTGAGTGGACAATTTCTTTTTTTAATTCTTTTATAGGAATTTTCCCAAGGATAAGACCAATTTTCCAGTAAATTTCAATGTTCGCTTAAGCATGTCGCATTGGTCTATATCACCCGAACTCCCTACTTTTCTTCCGAAGTCTACCCTAAAAATCACACCCTCGTCTCATAATTCGACTGTTCGTGCAATTCTTATTAAAATACATGCAGAATTCAAATCTCAGTAAGAGTCGTACAAGTTATTGCCCGTGACATCTCGTAGTAAACGTCATACTTTGATACCCGCCACTCAATTTCTTGCAATGTTTGAATTTGTCTTGGATTACGAAAACTCGTAATATAGTCTCTTACATCTGCTATATTACGCGTATTCGTAATTTAACTACATTACGAAAAATTGTAATATAAGTTTTATATTACGATAACTTGTAATATTATGCTTTCTCGTAATCTTACGTTTTTTCGTAATATTACGAATTTTCGTATTGGACTGGACTGTTGTAATATTGCAAGGATCTTTAATAGAAAGAAAAACTATGTACATGTACACAAAATAATATAAAAACTCTCCAGCTAATGAAATTTGCATGTATTTGTCAATTATTTGTATTAATTTAACAAGCCATACCTATGTATACCCTGGAGGTTTCTCCATCATAAACATGCACTGCATATGGCTGTGCTGTATTCAGTCTCAGACTGTAAAGTTCTGTTCCCGATGCTGCATCTACTCCAAATATGATCTTAGCTCCAGAGCTTGCAGCATGCAACATTCCCTATACAATGTAAAAGCGAAAGTAGGTTATACACAAAAATAAAATTTGCTGAAAAGAAATGATAGATGATAGATGTACGTTTTTTTTAGGTAATTTTACGTTTTTAGAAAGTGATTAATTGATTGATGGATTGATTATGCTTTTTCTCCCCATTTAAGAGTACTTTCACTCATATAGAGACGTCACCATATACTTAACATTTATATCTCGATCGGCACTCAGGGGCAATGAGCAATGAGAGTTCTTTATCGCACCAAATTAATAATTTTAAATTAAGGAATATTATAAAAGTGCATTTCAGTTTATTTTTTCCACTGATTAATTTTTGACTGAGGACTTTCTGATACACATGATCATGGGACCTCGTTTGGTTACTGCACATATGCAACATAAATGAAAAATATATACTAGTATCACATACAAATAAAATTTGTTGACGAACATGCAACAAACTAAACGAACATTTACCAAACAAAGTTCATACATGTATAGGCTATTACAACATTACTTGATTAAGGATAGCTGAACGTTACAATGGACCAAACAAAGTTCATACATGTATACGCTATTACAACAAATGTATAGATACCAGCTGAAAATGGAGTCCAGTTTAATTCAAATGTGTCTTAAACTGTGACAATATTTTTTCCATTACCTGATAAAAATGCAAACCAGTCGCAGGAACATTGTTACTCCGCCGCAGTACTTTTCTGTTTAATCCGTTATAGTCGCTGGCCTCAAGAGTGTGTCTGCCATAGTCTGCCCAGTACAAGAGGTTATTGATGACATCGATAGAAAGAGACAGAACTCGTATCAATCCGATGTGCACTATAATAGTCCTATTAACTCCGTCCATTGAGGCCTTTTCAATGCGTGGATTCACATCATTATCGGAAAAGAACATCAACCTAAAGGAATAAATGACAAGGTAAAAATAAAAAAAGCATACCTCTGTTTCAGTTCTACCATCATGACATTGGAAAAGAACTTTATTCGGTAATAACCAATATTTGCCCCCCAAATCAAACTTTGATGGAGATATATTTAATTAAGTTCTTAAACAGGGGAGTATAAAAAATACATTCCTCTGTTTCAGCTAAAATTGTTGCCATCATGACTATTGGTATTTTGACACTATAATATTTTTTGTTAATTTATATTTTATATACAAAATTTGACTTTTTGGGGGCAAATATTTTTAGAATGTCAAAAATATAACTGAAATAAAAACATAGTGTATTTTTCTAGTTTATATACTTCTTAATCTTAAGAATGTCAAATAAAACTTCATATCTTTGTCGTTTAAACATGATAAATCAAAAAAATCACACTCTCTTTTAGTTTTACAAGGATATTTTTCATCCTTTGGAAACAAATTTAGATTATGAGTTACATGCACTATCATGGATATTTTAGTTTTACCCATCCTCTGGATCTAATGCTAATCCTTCTGGTTGTTTCAAATTGTTGTGGATGATCAATTTATAAATGGTTGTATTGTCAAGATACGCCGGTTTCATGCCTATCCAACTAAACAGGGAATCGCACCAATATAAGTTTTTTGAAACATAGTCGAAAGCAATCTGAGCATTTCCAATAGACCTCCCTCTGTATGCAACTGAGATAGGAATGGTTTCATTCTGCCAGATGGTGAAGTTCTGGAATACGTAAATTGAATTGCCAATGGCTGCAAAAACAATATTTCTCTCTGGGTCTGACGATATGCTAATGATCTGAGCGCCTGAAGGATTTAGAGTCATCGACACATTTGTGAAGTGACTGGCGGGGTTTCTGGGTATCTCTGTGATGGAGGTTAGCGAAGCAGGATTCCATATTCCCAAAACCAGGCCCTTGTTACCAGTAAGACCTTAAAGTATGTTATATTTAATATGTTAAATTCAATTTTGTTAACAATTCTGTGAACTTAAATTTTGGGGATTATCAATTAAATTTAGTAATCCTATCCTCACTTTTGTAAACTTTTGCCCTCCCCCTTCTGAAAAAAATTGTTGTATTTTTTTTTTATGTGCTCTGTGAGAATTTTTTCACTTTTTTCAAGACTTGTGTTAGAACTAAACCTCGTCTTATAACGCCTTTTGAATGGCGTAAAATTAACATCCGTTCTTTTTGCGTCATTACGCCTTTTAAAAGGCCTAAACGTCTGTTACTTCAAATGAATACGCTGTATAATATCCACTTTAACTTTGCATCATGTTGTATGTTATTTTTTTCAGTTCAATTTAATTTTCAAATGTGAATTGTGAATATCCGGTCACGTGCTAAAATCGGATTGGCTAGTTAAAGGACACACAAAGAGAAAAATATATTAAAAACACTTTGATCAATTTCTTATTATCAATTTTATCTTAAACTAATACATTCTTGTAAAAATTTTCAATAACAGTTGCTTTTGAAGTATTGAATGGTATTTGAAATATACATAAACTTACTTAACTGCGTTTTAGAAAAATTAACATATATGTTAAGTACGTCCTCTCCTCACCTCAAGGCTCACTAAGATTTTTTTATACAGCATAGGAAGAAGGAAATCACAGTACTGAAGCAATTTACTCAGCATATACTTTCTAGCTAAGTATAAATGTTTTTCTCCTACAAATACTCATTTTAAGGAACTTCGATCCTCAGCCAGGATGGACAACTCTTTAATTTATAATTTAATTCAAAAAGTCTCGAAATTAAGCTTGAAAATTAAATTTTTTCATGCAACAATTTTCATTATATACCTCTCAATGTGCTTCAAGGTTCTTTGAAGTTCTCAGATAGGTCTACTTAAAAGTGGAATTTTTACCCCGTAAAAGCATTTTAAATTTATATATATCAAGAATTGGTGTTCATTTTATTCTAACCATAGATACCAATGTTTATTAACATGATTTGAAATTAGAAGTGTTTATGGAGAGTTGCTGTGACAGGAGAATCTTTATACATTTTGCATTGTAAAATGATCGAAGTACATAAAAGAAATTAAGGTACTTACATGTAAAACGTATAAAAATTGTGGAATTTCTTCAAAAGCCTGGATACCTATGATTTTTATTTTCAAAATTTGTTAATTGATCAAATTTGAATTCGAAAATGCATTGCAGGTGTTTTTATTCGCAATTCCTGAAAATATATTTCAGATTTACTGATTTTCTCTATAGAATATGATTAACTTGAAAGATGAAGTTTGAAGAATTTTTATGGGTAAAAACACGTTAATTTGAAAATTCAGACATTTTTATGAGCATTTTCAATCAGTAAATGCTTAATTTTCAGAACCTGAGGATTGGAGCACCTTAATTTCATGTACATTGTACGAGACACCCACTAATATTCTATTCACAACTCTATGAAATACTTTTAAAGCAGAATGTCTGTAGGTCTTTCATTTAAAGCAGTGTCGCTATCACTTTTACTTGAATCTCGCTGTGGCCAATAGTATCAGAAGCCAATATACATAATCATTTGTGTATGTACCTAACAAATTATTGTATTTAGTTCCTCATCTGCAACTTTATACTGCTTTCGGGACATTTTTTTTCAAAATTAAAATGAGATTTTCTTCTTTATTATCTAAATATCAAGGAAATATTTACATCAAATATGAAATGGGGTAGACTTATAACGATTATATACATGTATAACCTCATTTCACATTGCATATACACTGTATGTTGCATATAGGCTTTAAGTTATAGCTTTAGCACTTCTCCATCAATTAAAACTTCTATTTCAGAATACTTTTTAAAGTTCACCTAAAATTGATGGGTATGCATTGTACATGTAATACTTTGTTTTTACCTTGAAAAGTTGTAAACATTCTATATCTATTTTTGGATCAAGCGGGTATTCCATTCTATTTTTTTTTTTGTATACCCTAATTGTTTCATATATCCTTATTTTAAATTTATTTTCTTTACTTGTAAATCGTTATATATACAAGAATAGGCTTTGTATAAAAAAAATCAATCTAACAAAGAATATATAAAAATAATGCTTAGTTAACGTCTCCGCCCAATTTCTTTTCATTGCTTTAGGTGATATTATTTCCGTCTTTATCCTTAATTCTATTGACGTCTAAAGTTGTGTAAGGAATAATTATTTTTTAACTTGAAGTTGTTTTACATCTCAGTCAAAAAAAAAAAATATAAATAACGACATTTATTAATATATATTTTTTGCTTGTAGCTCAAACAGCAAGAGGGCAAATAAAATGTTCGGTACATGCACATGCAAGTGGACAACATTATGCGATATGGCAGGATATTGAATATCATTTGTATGTGGTTTTACGATGGCTGTTCAATATATAATGTCCTGGACTGTATGACATACAATACAAATATCATATCACATTAAGTTTGGCTTTCTCTCATTATTGAATTTCTTTAATGAATTTATAACTGTTTTTGTGAGCACTTTTCATAACATAGTTTCATTGTGAGAAGCTGGAAAACAAGGGCTATTCGAGGCACTGCATTATAAATGAATGGTAAAGAATCAGTAAACTAGAGTGAAAATAAAAGCTTCATTAAAGCTGCTGTAAAACTTGTTAAAAATCCCAAAGAAATATTTACTGAAATATGTGAAATTTACAGCAACCAATGCCTGTTTTATAGACGAATGAGCAGGTGGATTTCCATGGTAAAATATTATATTATGGGCATCAAAAATTGGTACCCTCCTTGCCAACAAAAGTAATGTTTGCCAAATTTCAACAAAAAATATTTGATGATGTATGATTGACTTTGAGACACATGGCAAATTTGAAAGACATCATTTCGGGAGTAATTAACACTGCTTAATAGAAACGTTTGACGGTAAAAAAAAAAGCTTAGTACTCATAGGTCATCCTATATATTGAAAAATGATTGAAAACGACAGCGTGTACGAATGTCTCAACAATTATTTCAAAATATTAGTAATTGTAGTTATCCACGTTTGTTTGATATTCAAGCAGATAATGAAACTTGAATCTATTGCTTAAAACCCTCAAAACAAAATTTACAATAAGATGTACTTGATGAAAACAGCAAAAGTCTGGCAAAAGCAAATAATTGCAAGAGCACAGACATATTTATATGCAATTTTCTGAAATATAAGTGGTATCTTTGTTCAAATTCTTATTCGAGGTTACCGCTTAATTTCTGGAGGAATCTAGAAAGCAGAAGTTTTGCAAAAAATCGAAAGGTTTATTAGAGGAAGGACCCAGAATCAGGAATCCACTACATTGAATTTCTTCTGGACAGCGTCCAAACCCTCACGCCCTAAAGCGTAAAGGAGTTTTCGGGATACCCAAAAATGAGTTCTAAAAACAATCAGAAATTGGATAAAAAATGTTACGGACATGTGTTTTAATTAAAAGAGAAAATTAAGTTAAATCATAAAGACTAAATCATTGAAAAGCGTCTTTTGCTTCTTTACGAGCACCGAAGACATTATTCATTGAACAGCCCTCGTATATTAGGATGATGTAGATGAGGAAAATTTAACGAATTTACACAATCGATTCATGCTTTTCCTGCTGTGTAACGGTAACGAGCTATCTTTAACTGCATAAAAAGTCAGAAATCTGAAGTAATATATTAAAATACGACTTGATCCAACAATAATATCAAAACTGCAAAACAAAAAGAATATTGGCGATAAAATTTTAGAAGAATATACTCCTAACAATTTTGATTTTTGTCTTTGAATTTCATTTTTGTATGCAAAAACATTGAAATAAACACAATGTTTAGTTACCTGTATCGTTACACATCAAAAATTTTACAGAAGTACGCGTAGTTTGACGACAAGTTTTGGTACTCAATTTCAATGTTTAAAACTTCACATTTGTATGGAATGTCAAACATTTCAATATTCGATCTTTTTCCATTTGCATTGTTTAATTTTTTTTATATTTTAAAATTTCTCATTTGTTTTGTAAAAATTCCATTTGTATTGTTTAATTTGTATTTGTATTCTATAATTTTCTATTTGTAGTCTTTAATTTTCATTTGAATCGTAATTTTTTTAATTTGTATTTTATATTTCCCATTTGCATTGTATAATTTCTTTTTGTCGTATTGTAAAATGTCTTATTTGTATTTGATGGGTTTTTTTCATTTGTATTGTATCCTAGAATTGTTTATTTATTTTGTTAAGAAGGATGGATATGGAGATAACAAACAGTATTCAATATCGAAGTTCTTAATACAATACAAAATAGGAGCAGAGCAAACACGGACCTCCGAGACATCAGAGGTGGGATCAGGTGCCATGGAGGAGTGAGCATTCCCTGCTGACCGGTCACACCCGCCGTGTGTTCCTTGTCATATTAGGAAATAACGGAAAATCCGTCTCAATTCAGAGTACAAATAATGAACTAACAAATAGTATGAAAAATGTCCGTCAGCATTTGACTCAATGGTACATTGTATATGCTGACAAGGTCACTTTATCGACCATAGAACTTCCGAAATGATGACTTTAAATGACTTTTTCATTAATCAAATTTTAGTTTTTTTTGTAGTGTAGTGTTCAAACAAGCGAGATATGTTTAATTTTAAAAGGGGTGGATGGGTGGCAAATGTTGTCGAATTAGAATATTTATTTCCATTCTCTTTCAGGAGAGGATATTCTTTTCCATGATGACCAGAGACAAGAAAAAGAAGATTAAGAATGTTAATTTGCCCAAATTTTCATTTCTTGGGAAGGGGGGGGGGGGGTGTGGTACCACCTGTCAAGATCAAATCATTAATCTTTTCAGACAACATATTTCTAAGGACCAATTATTTACCGGTATTTGTCGTCTGCTAACGATCCCTTTTTATTTAAATAGCCGTCCTCTAATATTTACACAAAGGAGCCCGGTTTGTTTTTAAACAGCACCCTGGACAACTCGATATTTTTACATGATACAGGCTTAATCTTCACCAATGAGATTCTTCGTAACAAAATTGATAAACAATCCTCCAATACAATACAAAATTATAAAAGAATAAAATATTTTAATACAAATAGGAAAATATAGAATACAAATGGCAAATAAAGAATACAAATAAAAAGAATTACAATTAAAATGGAAAATTATAAAAGACAAATTAAAAATTATAGAATACAAATAATAAAATCATGCAATTCAAATAAATAATCATACAATACGAATGGAAAATTTTGCAATGCAAATGGAAATTGTAGCAAACACATATATATTTACAATACAAATCGAAAGGATAGAATATTGCAATTTTTGACATGCCATACATATGATTTTTGCATAAACCTCCTTTGTATATCAAAAAAGTTGTTTAAGTAAGTTGTTATTTTAGAAATATTTGAAGTTCGAGGTGTACACGAAAAAAAGTTAAAGTTATACCGGTATGTGAGTTACTGAAACTATTTCTGGATAAAATGCAATTTATTTCGATATAAAAGCGCTTTTTCAGTGGAACTATATAATAATAATTTACTTTATAATTGATATCATTAGATTTATAAGCAATACAAAATGGGACAATTATCAAAGTAGCATTCCATTGTTATTAAACTGAGGAACTTTAATGTTTTGATACATAGAAATTGCACTAAAATGTAATTTTATCTACTTCAATATCTATGCTTTAAAATTATTCAAATTTTATGACTGTGTAATACATATTTAAAAGTAAAATTGATATAACTTACCAAAAGAGAAATCCACACTTGTTGTTGTGATTATAAGAACTCCTAATACATGTAAAACAAGCATATTTGTATTAATGGAAAACGAACATCTATTTAAAATAGTATGCAATGTAATAACTAAATAATTCGGGAAAGTACTGTTTTGTATACTAAACTGAATAAGGAAGTTTATTGTGTTCTGCTTCAATAAACCTCAATAACTTTTGTTTTTACATGTTTTAAAAACAATTTTACAAATATAAATATACACACATAGAGAGTGAGAAAAAAGAGAGAATTTTATTCATTATAAACATACGCACCAGTTTCAGTGTGTCACGTTTGGCATTGATACGATAAATAGAGACGGCCAAGTAAAGGTAAAAAAAAATAGTAACTAAAGGATCTTCTAATTCTAAGTTCATATCTGAGAGGCTTTCACTTCTAATGACGAATCCATGGCTTATGAACAAACCATCCCACAATATACTTTAAAGGTTTCATACAGAGACTATAACGAGTATCAAACCCGCGGGCCACTCGTTTTCCTTTTTATTTAACTAATGCCTTATGAACAAACTTTCTGTTACAATCATGATTTTCAGATCCATTGTTCCTTAATTAAACATAAATTTGTTTAACTAAAAAGACATCTCGATTTCTTTTTACGATATGCCAGACAGTAAATTCTATCTTAATTTCCTTTTTCATAGAAGTTGACGCATTATGCATATGGATTTCTTTTCCTATTAGTTGAAGGTATATTTTCTCTACAATGTAACCGACTGAGAACTTAATAAATGAAAAAGGAATTCTCAAATGTACTGACTATGAAATACTTGGGAAAGTTTTTTTTATATCACACTCCACTTATCCTACTTTAATATCCCAGCTTGAAAATCAGAGAGGTAAATATTGTGAAGGGGTGTCCGTTTGTCTTTCTGTAAGTTTATCCATTTGTCCATAATGCTTTTGATCACCCATCTCTTATCCACAACTCCTCTAACACCACTGAATGCTATTTAATGAAACTTTCAAAGAATCTTTAATTTGTTACGTAGTGATATTGTGCATCGCCTATTTTACATTTACGGTCGTATATTTCAGATTTCCCATAGATAATAATTTCAGATCTCTCAAAGCAGGACATAGACCTTTTCACCATAAACATATGGGAGTGGAGGTGTCATTTTTTTAGCTCGGCGCTCGTAGTACCTCTGTCTGGTTTAAATCGGTATTTAAATGGGGTTCGCTCCTCTGCTTTTCAGCAGATGTTTGTTTTGACCTCTATTTATAAAAAAAATCTTCATAATTTTTAGTTCTTGCAATAAATTTGAATTTTATAATGTAATAAAAACTATTTTCAATTAAAACCCCATGATTTAATTCTATACCGATACGTTTAATGAGAACCTATATTTTGTAGCGGAAGGTGGTTTTTTTTTTTTTTTTAGGAAAAAGATAAATTTTTTCTCTTTTGATGTATTCAGTATTGTTAAGTTTGGATTCCTATTTTTGCACACAGAGTAATTTTGTGCAGTGAACTATTCTCTGCTTGTCCTAAATTATGTATTAAATCAACTTTCATTCATTCTATCATCATATTTGACAAAATTAATATATAAAACATATCGTGACAGTCCTTGAAAAAATAGTCCAATTTTTGTAAATCTAAAAAAAAACATCAGAGACCCCAATTTTTTATTTTATTTTCAAAACATATAAGACAATTTTAACCATTCAGCTTAGATGTCGAAAAATGACATTTTTTGAGTGCCGAAAGGTCAAATAATTGACTATGCGAAGTAATCATTAACTAATTATGTTTTCACAATTTTTAATGTGACTATTTAAGATGACAAAAAGTCAGCGTTTGATCCAATAATTCACTTGAATAAAAAATATTAAAAGGAAAAACTATTATTACATTTTTACCCGTGAAATACTGTAATTTATTCATTGAATAAAAATGATATCCTGTCACAGTGTGAAAGGATATCAAAATGATATCCTGTCACAGTGTAACGAATATCAGAAGTGCGGGAAAACCCTCGATTTCCCTTCCCATAACGAAGGTTGTTGTAAAACAAATCTTCCTTGACCTTATATAAGATAGATGGAAATAAATAAACCATTCTGACAGCGAATAAAACTGTTAAAATTACCAAAAATATGTTGCTAAATCCATGTTGACAATGTTTTAACTCACTTTTCTTGACGTCTCAACCGCTCAACTATGACGTCATGTAGCCTATGACTGTATTACAAAAAGACAGGGACAAAGGAAAAATCAAAGAATTTGTTTAAAAAATGTAATAAACAGAAAATTCAATGTTTTGTAGCTGAATATGGAATTTATTTCACTCGTGAGACAGGATTTTTTGATATTTTCACTCGTGCTTCGCACTCGTGAAAATATCAAAAATCCTGTCCCACTCGTGAAATAAATTCCATATTCAACTATAGAACATTGAATATCCTCTATTTATTTGAAAATTACATTATGTGTTAGACGTAATTATAGTGCAAAACGGTCACATCAATTGCCACGTCGTGCTTAAAGAAGCGCACTGACCTCCATTTTTGTATTGATTTATTATTAAGCTATGTGTGTAAATTCTAAAAATATACTTCACAAAAAAAATCTCCATACTTTTAATGACCGGAACAAACCTCCTTAAAATTTCCAATTAATATGCACTGGTAATGTTTATTAACATTGTAACTCTGCTTCTCTCTCTGAAATTGACTAGGACATCGGCAAATGCAAGTAATTGGGTTGTATCAATTTATCATTGAAACATATAATAAAACAGTTAATGATAAGCAAAGTACAGTGTATATTTACAAAAATAAAGGTAAAAGTTGTTTGTTTTTCTTCATCAGGTATCAGTTGACCTTCATAATAATTAATACTGATTACGGAAGACCCTAAAGCCGTACTGGAAAAAAGTCAATTGCTTATTTATTCAGTTACAAATGTACAACATAACGAATGTTAAGTGGGGATACAATAATGATATATTAAATCAATGTAAAATTTTAAACCAAATATTTGTCCACTTATAAGTTCTTTTCTTGAGATGAGTAGCACAGTTTAGTAGCTATACACAGGGTAAAGGTACGGGTCCTCTATTGGTTCCACATATTCCGTTATGGCATTGTCATCGATGGTTACGTATTCAGTAGCTTCTTGTCCCTCTTCACTGTAGCTTCCGGCCAAATTTCGACGATATCTGATGATCGAATAATTGTGTCCAGCATGCACCGGTGATGTCTGGTACGAATCGCTGTAAAATCAAATGAATATCATCAGAATTTGAATAGGGAAAATCTAATTTTAGAAAGACTTACTTGCTAAATTTTCTCTATTTATATGGCCGACATTAGGGACCTTTTCTTGGCGTACTTAATTTTGACTTTAGATTCTAGTCAATTGGGTAAAACTTTTCAAAGCGAGTTCGGTACCCATTTCAAACCTAACATGGATGTTAACACGAAATTAAAGATGTGCAGAATTCTGACCCACAAAAGGATATTTAAGGAATTAATTTAATAACTACCAAAAGTATACTTTATAACCTTATGCGGGACAGTTTACACTTTATAAACCGCATGCAATCCTTTTCATTGAATTTTAACCACGTTTTCCTAAATAATGAGATTATTTCCCTTTCGAAAAATGTGCTAATTTTAAATAATTTATAAAGGAATAGAAAGGTGAGAAATCTGACCAATGTGTCTCTTGTTATAATTATGGTCAAACTGGAGACGCATAAAGGATTCAGAGTTTGATAATAATAATAGCCAACTTTATATTAAAACATTATAATAACCGAGAAGTAATTCTTCTTTTGAGGAAGCACGCTATTGCAAGAGCTACAGCAAAAATGATTCCAGCGATGGCTGCAAGTGATGACCCAATGACGAAATACGTATTGTATATTCCAAAACTTTCTTCGTTGGTGTGTTGTGAGGATGTGTTTCCTATGAAAAAAAAAATAGAATGGTAAATTATAATTATTGCGAAGTAAAAGGAATATTTCAGAAATTTGTTTGAGATATTTTATAAGTGTTATTTTAGTGTTAAGTATTATTTTTCTCAAACAATTTTTTTTTTCAGTACAAGGGTTGGCATTATAGCATATTAAAACGAAGATTCACACTGTTTTACTCAAAGCCGAGGAAAATAATTCTGGTCGAGGGTAACTGGAATTTTGCTAACCCCCTCAATGATACACTTTTAACTGTTTTATTATAATTATATATCGATATAAAGCAAAAAATAGAGGATTACGAATGACAGGAAATAAGCTTTCGGCGCTGGGATTAGGTCACTTAACTAACGCACGGGAATTAGCCTAATAACATACTTAACCTTTGCAAAAATGAAATCTATATGATTACTGATAACCGGGTATTAGCATCCAAAGCAGGGATTCAATGATTCATAGACATTTCTAAGGAATTATTCACATTTTTTTATCTAATTTTCATATAGGGAAAAATCAGTGGAGCTATGAAAGTTGTCTTTAACAATCCCTACAAATTAGAATTTTATTTATTTTTTCATGAACTGATGAGCATGAATATCGACATTTTGTTAAGTCATCATACGGTTTGATTTAAAAATGGCGGTTGAATATGGCGAAATCAGTGGAAACTCATCAGAGAATAATGTAAATATGAGAAATAAATTCAATTTTCGAAGATTCATGAGATACATGAGCTACAATGCTTCACACTAAGGCGCTTCATGGAATATGCCGGCGTGAAGCGTCGTAGTTCATGTCCTAATATTTACATTCGCTTTGTTTTTCTACTAAGCCAACTGTGAAATTGATTTGAAAACCATTACTCACGCGTAGAAATCTACAAAGAGAAACGTGCGCTAACGTGACGTCACAATAAGGCTACAGCGACGTTAGTAAAAGTATAACGATATAGGGCAGCGAGAAATTCAAATATTGGGTATATTTTTGGTGCTTCCAAACATGTAAAATGTAAATATAAGGAATGTTTTTAAGTTTAGTGTGAATTATTGGTGTGTGAATCACACAGACTTGCGCATAGGCATATTTTTCATGAAGCGCTAGCGCTACTTTATTATACCTACGTGACGAGTCTGTGTGATTCACACACCAATAACTCACACAAAACTCAAAAACATTCCTTAAATGAATCTTCAAAAATTTATTTATTTATTAAATTTTTAAAAATACGGATATTCAATGAAGACAAAGTTTGATTTACTTTGTCCATGGTGTATTATAGAGCTTACAAGTAAAAAGCGTGAACGGGGAAATTAGTATGAACTTTCAAAGTTAAAGTAAGATTCACAAAAATGAATACTATTTCGTAAATATAATTCTGGTTAGTGCAATTTAAAAGTGAAATTTAACATATTCTACTTAATTTGCATAGCCAAGGGTTGTATCCCTGTACACCTTAGTGAAGTTACAGACTAAAATTTGTTTCTAACTTAATAGAAGTTTTAGAGGGTATGTAGTTCTAAAATTGCTTCTTGGTTAGCCATACGGATTTGAATTTTCTGTATTTATATATTTATTTATTACGAAAAGTTGACTTGCACCTCCTTGACACGTCGTTTGATCTGATAATAGATGTACACCGTCTTCACAACCACAGGTCCTTCCATTTGGTGTTGGAAAGCAGAAGGCACTACAATTACCGTTATTGATGGAGCAACTCAAACTCACTAAAAAGGAAAGACTGAATAACTGTATCAATTTATGCCTGCCTTTCAACTGAGCATAGTGAACTGAAAAGTAAACTGTGAAATCACTTTGGAAGGGAATTCATGACTACCCCGTAACGTAAAATTTTATATACATCAGTAATCAACAATTCTCCATCCATAAAGTTAAATCTCCAAAAATCAATAAATATTTTTGAAACTACGAAATTACGACTCCATTAAAATAAGTGAAATAAAAGTATTTTTAGAAATCATGTATATTTTAACATTAATACTTACCATCAACTGAATCATCTGTATATACATCAATACTACCAAGCACCCCCAGCTCTGGATGGTTTGACATAAATTTCACCTTTGAACCCGTTGTTTTGTTTATCTTTGTTACGCCTCTGCATTAAAAAATAGTCATATTTGGTTTCATCTATTAATAAGCAAAGTACTTCTAAGAATGAAATAAAAGTCAAAGTGACCTCAACATTGTTCGTCTGAATAGCTTTAACGATGTTAATTTATTTTCAATAAATTTTAATGGTTTTTGATGAGGATGAATACCGTTTTGATAAATTTATATTGTAAATCTATTATATTTGAAGCTTATGAAACTTGAAAATATAACTTAAACTATATATCATGCAAACGCAAAACAAACGCATTTAAACGAACAAAACAAAAACGAATACACAAAAACATATGTTATGTAGCTAAATATATACATGCAGTATTATTATTTTAAAAAATTACAATCACAGACTACACTCATTAAAACAATATCAATGAATGCGACAATGCTTTTTAAACTGTTTTTTTTCTGATTTGATGGAGAGTAGTAAAGGTTAACCTAACTGTCTATTTGACGCTATGTAATAGAGATATTGTCCGAGAACAACGAGTCCCATGGGAAATGAGTCTTTATCTGTTGTTAAAACGTGTCTGTTTTCTCCATTCAAGTCAGAGTACTCTAGATGACCTTTAGATGCATCTGTCCAGTAAAGTCTGTTGGCTAAAATGTAAAAGATAAAATCACCGGTTTGAATCTTTTTTTTATAAAAGGCTATACCGCCAGAGATGGAATGCTCAACAGGCCGTGGCAGAATTTATGCATACAATTAAAGTCAATTGCAAGACCAGTTGGAGCTCCAATATTTGTTGTTGCAATGTAGGTTTGTGATTTTCCGTCCATATATGATCTGCTAATTTCTTTGCTACTTCCTATTTCTGTCCAGTATAAATATCTAAATTATAAAACAAATCGTTTCCTGAAAAAATCATACTAATATTTTATATCGGATAAACATGTGATTTTACAATTATTTTAGCTATATCAATGCGATAATGAAAAGATGAATTTCAAGCAATTATATGTACATACCCTTTTGATGGATATAGAACGATATCTTTTGGTCTGTGCAAGTTGGACAACAAAGTTTTATGTAGAGAAGTTTTTCTATGCACAACTCCAATAAAACTTTGACTCGGGATAGGGGCCACGGCGGAATAGTATATATTTCCCGTTGAATAGTCAATGGTTAAACGATCAGCATAAGCGTGTCCTGTAAATACAAGATTGAATGGGATGACGACAGAAATAAAGAATGATACATAAAGGTGAGCAGAAAAAAGATATATATTTTAAATCAGGTTCTAAATACCAGTTGCATGGACCAATGTTTTATTCCTTCCATGAAGCGTTATTGACATAATAGTGTTATCCGAGGCATTGGAGTAGATAAGTTCCTTTGTTGACCTATCGAATGCAATTCCTGGAGAATTCTTTACACTGATTGGTAATTTAACTATAATGCCGGTATTTATGTCAATCTGAAGGATCCTTCCATGGGAGTTATCAATCACAATCAAGAAATTCCTCGAATAAACATCTAACAGAATTTGAAAAATAAAATTATTCTTCCTTAATCTAGACGTTTTCACCTTTCGAACGCAATTTGTGAGGGAAATTTTATTTTACACATAAAACTATGTTTCAGTTATCCGGACGCTTCATTTAACTAGACAATTTGCGTTGGAACACAAGTTTCCGAATTAAAGGATTGGCTGTGCTCTTCTTTTTGAAAAGTTAACAACTCTTGGATTAATCACCAAAAAATTATCCACTTACCGCTAGCACAAGTTTTCAAATCGGTTTGAAGATGTAGGCCAAAATCACATTCACATTTTCGCCCACTTTGTATCGGCACACAAATATCTTCACAGTCACCATTCCGGACATTGCAAACACCTGTATCGACAATATCGTAACATGATATATATAGAATACATTGGTTACTTTCTTGAAATATAAACCATATTTGGGCAAGGACAAAAGCCGAGCCCTCTATCACATTTTCGACCTGAGCCCAAATATCGCTTAGGATTGAAGACAATGTCCATGTATTTAGTGTATCCTACAAAATATATTTACATCTGACCTCCAAAATAAGCTATTTTTAGCCGGACAAATATAAAATACATGGTTACTGTCTTAAAATATAAGCGATATTTGGGCGAGGGTAAGAAAACATGATAGAGGGCGAGACTTGCCAAGACACTTATCCTGCAACTACCCCGTGCATTAACCTAATAAATGTAACCTAATAAACCAAAGCTTTATTCGGTCACTGTCCTAATAAAGCCTCGTGTATATATTCCGGCGTTCTAAAAGCATTATGATGTCATGCAATGTTCACACCATGGCTTCATAGTTTCAGTTGCAGGAATATGTCTAAATCTGTCGGAAATAGCTAGATTTGGAGGTTCAAATGTAAAACAAATATGTTGCAGGATAAACAAAATACATGATAACTGTCTTGAAATATAAGCGATATTTGGGATATCACGTTTTCTTACCCTAGCCCAAATATCGCCTATATTTCAAGACAGTAACCATGTATTTTATATCTCTCTGCAGTGGAATGAAAGATATGGAGATAACGAGCACTATTCAATGTAAAAGTCCATAAAACAATGCAAAATAAGAGCAGAGCAAACATGGACACCCGAAACATCAGAGGTGGGATCAGGTGCTATGGAGGAGTGAGCATCCCCTGCCGACCGGTCACACCAGCCGTGTGCTCCTTGTCATGATCAGAAAATAACGGAAAAAAATCCGTCGTCAATTCAGTGTATAAATAATGGATTAACAATTGGTATGAAAAACGTTAGTCAGCATTTGACTCAGTGATAAATTGTATTTGCTGACAAGGTCATTGTATCGACCATAGAACTTACTAAATGATGACTTTAAACGATCGAGACTGCTGATATTGATATTGTAAGACGCCATAGCGTGAACATTACAATATACGTGACGTAGCATTGCTTTAAGAAAGCCAGAATACATGCACGGGACTTTATTAGGACATTGGCCGAATAAATTACCTTTATTATGTTAATGCAAGGGGACAGTTGTAGGTAAAATTTCAGAACATATGGATTTTTTTTTTTAGAAAGAATGCAATTACAGACATTGCTCTTAACGTTTTATATGAAACTCTTTATCATTTATTTCAAATATATTGAAGTACAACAGGGGTTTATTGGCTCAAATACTGCGAACAAAAATGTTGTGTTAAATCATCGAAAAGGCATTCTTGCCTTCAAATAAAAAAAAAAGTGTTTGTCATATCGTATATTGTTTTTGTTTAATACAACCTTCAAGAATGCAAGCTGGATGCAAATAAAAGGTTATTTATTTGATTTGTTTGTTTTTTTTTTTCTAAATCCTTTGTCTTTTCCCAAGAATTGAGGAATTTGAAAGAATCAAATTAACGACAAAACATTTTATCCGACAAGAAAATGGAGAAAAAAGTTCTCATTGATGATATGAAAGTTTATAATGTATGAGTAAATTGTTATACAATTCATCATTGAGTCAAATGCTGACTGACGTGCTTCATACTAAGTGTTTGTCCATTATCTATACACAGAATAGATGACGGATTTTTCAGCATTTCCCGATTATGAAAAGAAGCACACGACGGGTGTGACCGGTCAGCAGGGAATGCTCACTCCTCCATGGCACCAGATCCCACCTCTGATGTTGCGGAGATCCCTGCTTGCTCTGCTCCTATACGTATTGTTTAATGGACTTGAATTGAATTCTGTTCGTTATCTCGATATCCCTCTTGAAATAATATGATAAAAAAAAATCACATATTTCCGTGGGGTCAAGTTTTTGCGTTTTCAGGAAAATTTTTGGTTAGTGGGGATTTGATTTTTGAATGATTGCTAAGTAGTTACGTATGTCACATTTTACATAAGGTGGACATAAATATGTGGGTGTTTTTATACCTCGAAAAGAATGAAAATTTAACCTCATTCCAATAAAATTTTGCGACTTCGCAGTAAAAAGAGATGAGATGTAAAGTAAATAAGCCAATCTGATATAGATTTAAATTATCTAAACATTAGACAAAGGGAAAGTAATGGTAATTGAAAACAATTACAATACATTCCCAATGTATGTAATAATAATAATAATATCCTTTATTTATACAGGATGGCACAATTAGTTAACAACTAGTTCACATTGTGAACAAAAGAGATTTCTGTTCTATAATACATACATGAAATTACATGTACCTTTAAAAACATATCTGTGCAAACATGGCAAGTATCCAATTCGAAAAATGAACTAGATAATTTCAACCTTTATTAACACAATTGTCTTAAGTTCCCCATTCTTAATTCATTAGTGTTTAAAATTTTCCCTAGAGAATATATTGTTTATGATTATAATTATGATTATGAATTGAGAGAGAAAAAATAAATTTAACCATTTTTATCCCTTTGTAAAGAAGAATCATATATGACAATTTCTTTGGGATTTTCTATAGGCATATCCAATACATGCTCAGAGGAATTTTTTGATTTTCTTGCAAAGTTTAAACTGTTCTCGTCCATCCAACCAAAGAAATCCTACAAAAAAGAGTTATGATTATGTACGTCAATATTGTATCAAAAAAGTCTCGTTAGATTACTTCTACAAAATTACATACTAATTCATAGTTAGTCATTCATATCAATTCATAGTTAGTCAATTCATATGATCCTTTTTTGTGTCAGTATTTTAATTTTCTTTTATTTCAACTTAAAGATTCTTTTAATTTTTCATCAACATGTTCAAGAACTATAGTTGTATATATAGAGCATTCCATCGATGCGGATGGCCCTGATCAGCGAAGTAAAGTATACATAAACGAAGAAATTGTATCCTTATCATGGAGATTAAAGTTTTAGAAAGTGTAATCCATAATTTGTGGTTTTCCACCGATATAGATTCATAAAGATTTAAACATTTGACTACGAAAAAATACCAAATTTGCTCTTATATTTCATAGGGGAACGGAATCAACTGGTGTATTTCTAATACTTTATTAGTTAATACACTTGCATATGAAAGATAAAAATAAAGCTTTTCAAGAATCTCAATTTTTAACTATCAACTAATATTAATCAAAATTGATGCTGTCTTATAACAGATAAAGCATAACTTATTTACCTTGTACATGAATATTTGAATTGCACCCAATGTAGTAACGTGGCTTTTAATGTTGGATCCATCGGTCAAACTGCTTTTAATAGTCGTAGTATCAAGCCAATATATTCTGAAATAAAATTTGTTAGACCTAAGGTTAAATAACTTATTATTATAAGTAAATTATACATAGTAATTATAAATTTTTATGTCAGTATACAGGCACCAAAATCGCTTGAATTTCTGACCATGATATACTAGGGGGTCAAAAATTCAAGCGAGTTTGGTGCCCATGTGTCAAAAGTTCTCTGTTAGAATATAAGATAAAATAGATTTTGAAAAACAGAAAAATTTGTTTGTGAATAAGACAATGTTGACTGGAAGGCAACAAAGAGAATGTCGATGAGATTAAATGTGCAACGTAACAAACGAGGATTAGGGAATGGGGATCTCACTACAGTCAGAAAGAGAGAGAGAGATATGCGAGGGATGGTAACTGTTGATAATTTGGTGACATGCGAAACCTTTTTTTCGCTGATGCCCGGACACACTCTACTAACTAGACATCGTTTCCTTAAATAAGTACATGTATATGTATAACATACATGTTTTCAGCCCTGACTTGTTGACATTTGCTGATACATGAGATGGGAGAGAATTCAAAATGTTCCTATTGTTTTGTTCTTTGTTTATTAGAGGTTCAATTTCAAAATTTCAAAAACAAGTAAATAGACGTCCAGATTTGGTGCCATGTTTACAAGAATGACATCATTGAACATTTGTCGAACAACTTAACAACAAAAGACCACTGAATACATCGCAGTCTCGGGTGATAAGACAACAGTCATGTATATACATTGAACATTTGCTATATTGTGGACGTATGATTATATATTTGGATTTTATTTTTTAATATTAAGAAAAAATGTTTACATAATTTTCATACGAAATATAATGACATTACGAAAATTTAAGAAAAGACCTCAATTTTATATATAATTAAAAAAGTATTTAAAGACTGAATATTTATTGTCATGTAAGTACAATGTATATAAATTGAAATGATTCATGAGAATTTTTTTTAACTTAAGGATGACGTTTACTCATGTTTAAGATGCCAGACAGGAAAATTGATAAAGTATAATATGTTAAATCAAAAATTGTTTTAAATGGATAAAATAACCAAGTTTTAACTCAATATATTAATTTGAAAATTTAATATTTTATTATACAGAGGAAATATACAGGAACAAAAGTCAATGTATGGTAATGCAGAGGAACTTTGGACAAAATTTCTAATTTTTTTTATTTTTGTCAATTTTTTCATTTTTTGCAATATTAATAACAATGTGAAGGTGACATGTATTTCTAGACATTATTTTGCAAATTTTATATACGTTAAAGCTCATAACTTATTTCAAATAATTAAATGCTATGAAATAAAGAAATTCAAAAACATGATCAAAAACCATTCCAGACAACATATCTCAATAATTTGATCATTGACCCCATATAATATTAATACCATGAGAATAAGGGCAACAAAAGTAATACCATTCTCCAAATAATTTTGTGTTCTTATCATTCAGATTTTTGTAATATTTAATTAAAATGGGAAAGAAATATAAATATGACAGAGGAAATTCGGACTTTAATAATTATCAAGTTTATGGCCCAAAGACCAATCGTTTCTTTTTATGGAGCAACCCTGTTCCATTCAACTAGTATGTCATTATTTAAATAGTTTTGTGCTTGTTATATTTTGTGAGTGAAGAAAAAATTGGTCATAATGTGAAAATTGAGGTATTTTTCGAGAAATACTCAGGGGCCACTTACATGAAAAGTAGGTCATTGACCTAGTTATTTGAAATTGAAAATTAATATAAGGTGTACAGTGTAGGTGGCTTTTCGTTCTTATCAGTGGAGTTTTTGTCTCTGATTATAAAAGGTATACCTTAAGTTTGACTTAGCTAAGATCTCGCTACGTTCGTTTTCTGTTACGGTTTAAGACATACTTAATAGACAAGTCCTTAGATTGTGTCTAAAACATACTTATGCTTCTACGTAAGTCGAAAACTTAGCAAGCTTTATGTTACGAACCATTGGAGCCAACCTCGTCGTTAAAGGTTGTAATACGTATTTTAATTATTATACATGTTAAATAGGTTTTAATATTAAAATGAAACTGTAAAAAAGGTCTATAATATGTTTAAACAACTTTCCCTGGGTAAATATCGTAATACTATTAAGATTTTCTTGACGTCAAGGAATATTTGCTTACCTGTAATACATTTTCTGGTAGTATGTTTCAATGTCAAGAAAAGCACACCAAATTGACGACAAACCTAAACTTTATAAACTTTTGACTTCATACAAAAATATAAGTATACTGTATTGGTGTGCGGATTGTCTAGATGGTAGTCATATGATTTCATTTTCTTTATTATGCAAAACTGCGTGTGCAACAAGTGTGTGTGATATCATTTACATATACTGAGTCGACCAAACCTGAGTAATTGGTAGGTTTTTTTAATTCAAAGAAAATTGTGATAATTCATCAGTATTACAACTTTGTATATATAGTACAATGTACATAGGTGCACAGTCCAATCCCAAGTTGCAATAGACTTGGGATTGGATGTAACACTGAATAAAGAAGAGAATTATGTACCTTCTGCTTGTGGTATCGTAATGAAGAGAAATTGGACTGCTTAGTTTTGGAGGGGACACAATAGCTTCTGGAAAATTTCGACTCAGGCTTCCTCTCATAATAGATTTTTGTACTTTTCCCGAGAACCAAAAAAGAAATCTGCAATACATGTATATATTGTTTAACGAAAGGGGTGTTCTTCCAAGTATCATACAATCTTTAATGACAGTACCAATAAAAAATTAACAAGGGGGCGATGGTCCACATAGGTCACCTGAACACTGTGGCTAATGGAGGGGACTATGATTTGAACATACTTTAATCTACACTAACAAATATGCCTGCATATTTCTATGACTAAATATGACCCTTTTACCCTTTAAGTCCCCCGCCGTGATGATTAGAACAGCCTAAAATCTACACTACCTAAGGATGCTTCTGAATGCAAATAAAATTAACCATGGCTTGGCTGTTTCCTTGATTTTTTTTTTGGTTGATTTTTTCCTAAATATTTCCATGTAAAGCTATGAGTGTCCCTCGTGGCTCCGCCCAATCCCCTCGAGGGTCATGATTTGAACAAACTTGAGCCTACACTACCTGATGATGTTCATATAAGTATGACCAATCATAGCTTTGTTGTTCTGGGGAAGAAGAATTTCAGTTATATTTCTATGTAAAACTTCTAGCCCCACCCTATCCTAGAGGGTAATGCTTGAATCAAAACTACCTGAGGATGCTTTAATATAGATATGACCAATTAAGACTTTGCTGTTCTTGAGAAGAAGATTTTTAACATGATTTGAACAAACTTGAATCTACACTACCTGAGGATGCTTCCCCATAAGTTTCATTTTTCCTTGCACAGTGGTTCTTGAGAAGAAGATTTTTAAAACATGCCACCACATTTTCTCTAATTCTTAATTATGCCCCCTTGTTTTAGAGCGTGGTCCTTTATTTGAACAAACCGGAACCCCCTTAACCCAAGAATGCTGTGTGGCAAGTTTGGTTGAAATTGGCCAAGTGGTTCTGGAGAAGAAGTTGAAAATTTTCAGACAAGACAAACAAATTGTTATCAGAAAAGCTCACTTGAGCTTTCAGCTCAGGGAGCTCAAATTATAACATCTAAAACACATATTTGTTAAACAAAAAATTAATACTACACAAATAAATATGAATAAAACAAACCCCTTGTATGGGTCCACTGTTAATGAAACTGGCTGCGGAAGTCCGCCATATATTGTTGTAGTTGAACCAGAATTAATTGAGTATGTTTGTATACTTGACCCTGTTGGCTCAATCCATATAAGAATATTAGCAATCCAGTTAAAATTTAGATCTGTATGATTGAGAAAGGAAACTCGATGAACGATAATAAGGAGAAATAAAACTTCGAAATTAAGGTTTTTGTGGTTTAAAACAATGGATTTGATTAACGCTAATTAAAAATGGTGGTAATAAAGTGTAAATAACTTTGAACTAACAACATTAAAAATTCAAAATGAAATTAGTATATTTCAAATATTGCTCATCAAATAAATCGTCCAAAAGAACTATTTGAAATACAATATAATGAAGATATTTCAACATGATATATGCATGTTTTGTCGGAATAATTTAAATCGGTTTTAATGCAAGAGAATTTTAAAATTTAGAGATTTGTAGGAATATGCATTTTAAAAACATATGCAACTTGATATGTTTGTGATACACCTATGCCCCCCATCCTGTAATTGGAATGTTTCAAAGCTCAGGGACATATCTCTGTCAAACATTGCTTGATCATATACAAAACAGAACTTGACTTACATATTTTTATGATAAATCTGTTTACTAAATTTCATGTAAGTAGGTTCAACCTCTTCGAAAAAATGAAACATATGAAATAACAAACAGTATTTAGATCAAAAGTTTATGAAACAATACAAAATAGGAGCAGAGGATATTACCGGGATAAATCGCTCCGACATAAGAATGGACATTTCCATTGTTTATTGACAATACGTTGTCGATATATCTAAATGTCTAGTTGAATGCTATAGCATTTGTTTTCTTCTTTTAACGAATACATGTAAGCTTTTGGACAAATTCATCTTTATATGAATACAAAAAAGGCCAGCTAATAACGGGGTGCAATTGGTATCCATATGCATTCCAATAGAGGGTTGGACAACCTGGGGCTCGTAACATAAAGGCTACTTAAGTCTAAGACCGTGCTTAAGTAGGACTTAAGTACAGTCTAAATCTTAAGACCGTAACAAGAAGCATACTTAAGATTTGGCAATCTTAGCAAAACTTAGGCGGCCGGTAGAAGTGACATAGGTTTATCTTAACTTTCTTATACATATATTTGGAAATATCTAATGTTGACTTTCGATGTTAAAACATTCCTCTATTCATATTATGCGTTATAGAAAACAATTATTTCTATTTTATGCCTATTAATGATTTTTTGGTTTTTCGTCGGGGTGTGGGGTGGTTCAGTAGACCTCGGTTATAGAAAATAATTGAACACAGTAATAAATCATGGATCATTGTGTTCACTTTGAAAATATAAGATTATAAGAATATAAGACGAAATAATTTTTTTTAAAAGAGAAAAGAAAGAGGCTGATAGCCAAAACAGTAATAATAAGAATCTGTAAAGTAGAATAAATGTAGAACGCTACAAAAGCGGATCTTGACAGGGCTCACTTTTTTCCAGAGAGAGAGAGAGAGAGAGAGAGAGAGAGAGAGAGAGAATTGCTGATAATTGGAGACATACGAAAAATATACCCTTTTTGCGGCCTTGATTAAATTGCAAATGATATATCATAAAACTTATGCAGTCTTTGCTACTGATATGCAAGGCCTGATACACATATATAGGGGGATTAAAAATGTTTTGAATTTTACTTTTTAGAGTTTCAATTTCAAGTAGAAAGAAAGTCGGTTATCTTGTTATGTTTGCGAGAATAACGAAGCAAGTGAACATTTGTCAAAACAAAAGAGTGACAAAAAGTTAACTGAAAACATCTCAAGTGATCGATAAAACAATAGTCGTACATTTACAATGAGCCACACATAGCCACGTTGTGACCGTGCAGCATATTTGTTTTCAAATATTCCGAATGAATTCTAACAGAATCATCATTTTAATACGAAATCTAATCTAATATAACTAAATCCAATAGGTTAAGACGTCAACTTTAATATACATGTATATTTAATTTAAACCCTAACTGAATCACGTTTGGCAATATATAAAATGAAAAACCATCGATTGAATCGTATGAAATATTTTTAACATAAGTTTGACTTAGCTAAGACCTAGATAAGTTCGCTATATGGTACGGTTAAAGACATACTTAAGTAGTACTTAGACAGTTCCTAAGATTGTGCCTAAAACGTACTTACGACCCTACTTAAGTCAAAAACTTAGCAAGCTTTATGTTACGAGCCCCTGATCTCCAAATTCAACATAGATATAAAAAAAACTTATGCATCTTTTTCATGTCAACCTCAGAGTACTTGTTTCCACAATCAGAACGCGTTTAAACTACATGATTTTGCAAATATCCAATGACAAGGCATGTAAGTAATTTACAAGTTCCATTTTTATTGATAAAGCAGCTGTCATGGATATAAAAAAGCCAGGACTTTAATTTATCATGGGTAATATACTCTAAAGTTTATATAAAACTTTTAGCACAAACATATTCTTGAATTTGTATTCACATGTAAACCCTTACTGAGTATGATTTGTCTGTATTTGTCCCCTGCTTTCGCGAAAGCGAGGGGACATTAAATCTCATTCGTCTGTCCGTCTGTCTGTCAGTCTATCAGTCTGTCTGTCACAAAAACTTGAACCTTGCCCATAACTTTTGATTTAGTGGAGCTATGACTTTCATATTTCACATGTGTATTCCTTGTGACTAGACCTTTTTTGGGTACCACCAAATTTGACCTTTTGACCTTGACCTTGGAGTTTGATCCACTTTTACACAAAAATTCCAAAATTTTACTTTGGCCATAACTTTTGAATGGTAGGTATTAAGACTTTCATATTTCACATATGTATTTTTTGTGGCAAGACCTTTTATTGGATATCAACAGCCTTGACTTTTCGACCTTGACCATGGAGACATGTTTAACCTTGACCATAACTTTTGAACGGTGAGGGCTAGGGCTTCACACATGTCATCCTTGTGAGAAGACATTTCATTGGATACCAAGAACTTTGGACAACTACGATCAGTTTTCACATCGCATCGTGTGTACATTAAAAATGTTCATCGCATTCTATTATTTCAAACAAATGCAATAGCTAAATGCACTTTTAATTCAAGTTAAAGTTTTCTAATTTCTTCCTTTTAAAATCATTTGATGGAGAGAGAGAAAGAAAGAAAGAATCAAGCTAACCTGAAACACTTCCAATGGAAGCTAAGGTTTGAAAGTTCCTTGTTATGATGTCTACTTTCCTTAATCTTCTACGACTGTCCACAAAGTAGATGACACGAGAATTAGCGTCAACAGCAAATGTTGTGATATTAGCTGTTGATATTCGAATGCCTTTTACTATGGATTTTATTCCATTGAAAACATGTGCTTCCAACATGGTAAATAATGTGGCGTTGCTAATTACGAATCCTCTCTCATAGAGAGACGAGTGTTCTGTCAAAAGCAACAAGACTTGTGTGTTAACAACAGAAAATCATTGAGAAGTTTTTATTAGCTTTCCTCCCTTTCATTTTGATTTATAAAACTGATAATGATAACCTTCATTATTTCATTGATTTTTTGCAATCACTTTGCTGAATGTTGATACATCTTTTTAACAATTTAATACATGTAGTATGTTTACCATTATTCATTTGTCTATGGACATATATTTTTTTCTTCATAACTTGTATTTCAGGAAATCAAATTGTAACCAATATACAGAGTTTACCTTTGCATGTAAAACCGTCCGTTAATAATTTATAACCCTCAGCACAGAGGCATTTGTTTCCCGAAGGAATGCTTACACATGTATATTGACAACTTCGTGAAGCGCAAGTGTCTGAAAAATTCATTCAGGAACACATTTAAATATCTAAAAATAAATAGATGAAAAATACTGTCTTATTTTTTATCGTCGGATCTTAATGAAACACACACACACGGAGAGAGAGAGAGAGTATTAGTTCACTAATCAGACGTGGTAAAAGAATTCAAGATATACCAATCTTTGTTTAATTTATGCAAACAAAAATTTAGGTAAAATCCAATTTTATAAAGGAAATACGAGGGGTGATCAAAAAGTTCGCAAACTAATTGAATAACTTCCATACAAGAAACAATATTTGGTTTTAATGTTGATTATATTTTAAATTAATCCTCCCCAATTTTAATGCACATCAACCTCGTTCTGCGCATGCATGAATCACGTGATATTGGCGGTCACGTGACCCCCTCCGTAGCGTTCTGACACATAAGTTAAAAGATTTTTCCGAGTTTTATATTTCTTTCCATGTGAATTAATTTTTATGACAAGAACAGTTAATTTGTCAGAAATGGTCATATCCCGGCAACAGAACGGGTGGATAATAACATCCTTTCCAAAAATAAGAATATGGCGACCATTAAAACACAAATCTTATGTCTCAGGAGAGATCTTTGTTCAAGGTGGATAGAGAATGGGTGCATCCTTTTTATCATATGTAATATGTTTAAAATCTAAGGTAAACGATATCTTAGGTATTTAATACTTATATCATTGTTCAAATATTCAACTATTTTTCAAAGTGCTAATTGGAGGTCTTTGATAGCAAATTGCTTAATTAAAAATACATATCTTTTCAAACTTGCTTTCACTGGGCAAGATGACAAGTATCATTTTTAACCATCAGCCTTCCTTCACTAAAACGATTAATCCAATCATTAATTGAATTTATAGGAACTCATTTATCTCAATAAACTGTGTACAAATTTTTATATGATACTGTAGAGGGATTTCTAAGATATTACAATAAATTGTACAGTCGTTTGTTGAACGAGTTCGACTGAGACAACCATTTTTCATCACAAGTGACCTGAATAGTGACGTCATTTTCACATTGTGACGTCACAAACAAGGAGAGAAACTTTATTCAGCATATGCTATTTATAGACCTTGTGTATGGCTATGTGTGTACCGAATTTCATTCTAATCTGAATTGTGGTTTTGTAGATATAGAGATAGTTTGCGAACTTTTTCATCGCCCCTCGTAAGACATAACCTATGGTTTTACATAAAGTTGCTGAAAAGGCACTACCTTCATGTGATTTTAATGAATTTGCATCGTAGACATGAATTGTAAATGGTTCTTTTGCTGTGTTTATATCGTACATTAAAGACCCAACTGTAACGTCATATCCAAGAATCAACTTAGCGCTCGAGCTAACCACATGTAGTATATTCTAAGTATAGAAAAAACATAAATATACATAGAAAGCACTTAATCACTTCAAGGATACAAAAGTAATTGAGCAAAGTTGCAATCAGCATGTACAAATACTATCAAAATAAAAAAGATTAAAATTTACATGAAGTTTCAAAGCTGGAATTGTAATTACCCGATGGTAAACGACACTATTCAACAAGACTTGTCTCTGACGTCTTATTACTCTTCGACTTGATCCATCATAGTTGCTGACCTCAAGAGTGTGTCTGTTAACGTCTGCCCAAAACAGTAAATTATTGTCTGTGTCAACAGTCAGGGATAGAACTCGTAACAGACCGGTGTAAACTATCACTGTTCTATCACTTCCATCCATCGAGGCCTTCTCAATGCGTGGATTCGCATCATTGTCAGAGAAGAACATCAGGCTGTTTCAATAGAGAATATTAGATGAGAAGGAACAAAACGACCAGCGTTTTAAGTTTAATCATATTGACAAAGTTTAGAGGTTGAAGTTGTCATCTGCAACATAAGACCTTTACTTTTTCATGCATTTCTGTTGAAGATGTTATTTTTAAGAGACTAGTATTTTTTTTTAACAATAACGTCAAATAGAATAGTAGAATGAAATAAAATTTTCAAATTCCATTTCCAATTCTTGTATTTCTGCTCATGAATAAAAATGTTTATTACAAGCGGTAAAACTAGTCTTCCCGGCTCCAGACGGTCCCGTGTTTCGTATTCGCGATTTCTTTTTCTGTCGGTGCACATAAACGCTTCACACTTCTCAGGCACATTTCAAGGTTTAGAAACTCATTAATATATAAAAACTTTCACAAATTTGCGTATTTATTACTGAATTGGCAGTATCGTCTGCCAAAAAGCGATAAATCTAGTACTCAGCTATAAATTCAAAAAACCACTGAAAAAAAGGATACCGATGTTTTCGAAGAATCGCAATTAAAAACAACAAACCGAGGAATATTTTTTTAACACATGAAAACCCTCATTTACATGCCAGTTAATTTGTATGCACAAAAATTCCCCACACATTTTCTTTCGTATAGAACTCTTTGCCGCTTCATGTTTATGTTCCCAGGCTATACAACATGCATGAACGTGGTTCTACCTCGAATCTTTCTACATTTAATGCAACGAAGATTTACATTGTCCACGAACTTTTCGAACAACCCTCGTATATCAGGAAAAAATGGTACTGAAAGAAGTTGAAATCATTCTTGGAAGCTTGTTTGTCACAACTAGCAAAGATCATATGGGTGGGTTATTTTCCCTCAAAATAAAATCTAGATATAGATAACATAAACTAAGGAGGAATCACATTTAAAAAAAGTGTTCATTGTCAACACAGCTAATTAAATGTCACCAAACAATTCATTGTTCATCTTTTTAACACTGATTGTGCGAAAAGTCCATCTGAATCACATCCAGTTGTATCTTTATAATAAAACTTAAGAAATGTTTTTGAAAAAGTCCAATTTGCCGCATCCATGATTTCTTTTAACGATACTCCTGATGAATAGGCCATTGAAGCTGAAGTTCCTCGGAAAGAATGTGCAGTAAAGTCTCTGATTCCTGACAATTCTAGAACACTTTTCAACCATCTTGCTAATGTACGTGCTGAAACAGGATTAAATGTTTTATAGGACACAAATAATGTAGATGATTTTCTTTTTTTCGGTTCATTTTAAATATTTGTGTAACGTTGAAACAACACAAAGTCTTTCATCAGAAAATTTATGTAATATAACTCTATGTACAGGAGTTCCAGGCTTACATGTTTTCAGTAACTTCTGAATTTGAAAAATAACCTTATCTGCAAACACTGACATGTACTTTAAATCAAGAGCCAATAGTGTTTTGGCCCTGGAAGCTGTTGTAAGTGCAACAAGAGCTATCAGTTTTAAAGTTACATGTAACAAATGTAAAGATATTTCACGTAAAGGCATTAAATTGCGTAAAAAACACAAAACTTTCGAAACATCCCAAGAAGTCTTTACATTAGGACGACATGGATTAAGATTGAAATATCCTTTCAATAATTTTGAAATTAATAATGGTTCCTTAACCCATAAAACACCAAAATATGGTAAAGTGTTAATCAATATGGATTTATAAGTATTCGAAGTATTCACAACAGAATATGAAACTTTATTGCTCATCAAAGAAATAAGATATTTAACAACTATTTATTCAGAGGGTGTAAAGGGATTTGTCACCAAAGTATCCATTTTTGGCAGCAGCACTGGTATTGTTTATTGGTGGTTAATCGTAGTGAGGCAAGGATAATGTCACAATCGAATCTTGCCAGCTCCTTGTCATAGAGGGATCCCCCGATACAAGACAGGCGGTTAGTGTTATCTTGTGGAAAGCATCAATGTGATGAGCATCAGGATCAAAATTCAAAGAGACAAACTTTTCCAATTGTTTATTTATCCGAGAAGCAAATAGATATCTGGATTGAAAAATTGTTTGCAAATTCGCAAGAAGATATCATGTTTTAACTTCCATTCTGTGGATTCAGCGAATTTCCTAGAAAGAGCATGAGCATATATATATTCTCATACCCACGTAAATATTGGGCTGAAAAAATGGTATTGCGTTTTAAGCACCAATTTCAAATTTTGACTGATAGATCATTGAGCTGTTTTGGCCTATCAATAAGACCAGATGTCTTATCTGAATTCTTGGATTGGACACTAAAATAAGCATCCTTTAAATCAACTGAAGTAAGATAATCATCTTTCTGAATCAGTTCTAAAGCAAATGTTAAATTTTCTTGTTTAAAATAATAATATTCAACAAATTCATTTAAATGTTTTAAATTTATGATTGGTTTTAAATTAACATCTTTTTTCGGTACAAGAAAAATATTTGAAATAAAAGCATCTGAAATATCTTTTACTTCTTCAATTGCACCTTTAGCAATTAACTGGTTTACTTCTCGCGAAACCAATTCAAATTTTAATGCATTAAATGATTTTGTCTTGGAAAAGTCTTTTGAAATGGTTGCTGAAAAAATTCATTTTCATATCCTGGATCTATAATATTTAAGTACGGCTCTGTGTAAAAATCATGCAGAGGGTCATTCATTGGGGGATTCAGAATTTTTTCAAACTTTACATGTTGGTAGAGTATGCTAAGATACTCCAAAAAAAATACAATTTTTTTCAAATTCTGTCATTATTATCCATGGCAACCAATAAACTGTTTTGGACAAAAAATGGCTGAAATTTCCTCTAAAAACAGGCAAAAATATCAATATTGAAGATTAAATTAAACATGTTAAAAGAAAACTAAACAAAACACATTTATGTTTATTTCTTGTTAAAATTCAGCATAAGTAGTTACTTTTCATAACTAGTCAAAATATATTTATTACAAGTAATGAGTTCTAATTTTAAGCTAAAAAGGGGAGATAAACCGTATTTGTAAAAACTGTAAAATATCCTTTTTTGAGGATTTTATCAATCAAAAATTTCTAAAAACCCCACAGCTAATCTAAAAGGCCATGGTAGTTTCAAAAACACTATATTCTAAAGCAAATAAAATAATAAAAACATTTTTGTGCAAATGATTATTAATTTACAAAAATAACTGATGAATTTTGTACAAAAATGGTAATTTCACCTTTTTTGTCACCAATATATATATCATTTTTTTAGGATTTCAGTTATCAAGATAATAAGATATATCTATGATTTTAAAAAATAGCCAAACAAAAAGGCTGTGCAGGTTTCATAGATACCATACCCTATGGAAAATTAAAAAAAAAACATTTGCACAAAAACCATTGTGATTAATAATTATACCAAAAAAGAAGTAGCATTATCTTTTGTCAGAGTCCAATATATACACCATGTACACACGCCAGTACATGTTTACATGTAAGAATATCAGTTTACATTTCAAAATAAATTCCTTTACATTTCCGAATTCAAATACAACACAATTGCAAATTATTTTTTTTACATTAATGAACAGTAAAATGTTGTTAAAAAACATTTGAAAATATTAATCATATTGATATTGATTACTAGATACATTTATCATAATCATTGTATATGTAATTACAATTTTAAGTTTTACATCTTTGTAAGGTGCAGTCATGCTAAACAGTATATCTCTAATTTCCCCTGCTTCTCTTCTGTAGTAAGTGACTGTCCTTTGTTTATTAGCCTCTTCTAAAAGCACTAAAGATCCTTGGAAAGAGAATTGCTGCCTGATTAACATTATCCAAATTACCGTCATGGAATCCAATGAACTCTAATCTTTGTTTTTTGACAGCTTTAATATTTTATTTTCCATTATTCCTAAAATAATAATTACAATATACATGTGCATGTATTTATCATTGGAGTTTTATGAAGAGACTTACTTTTACAGTTGACGACTGACTTTTACATTTTAAACACATACAAACTCCATATACTAAAATGTAAAAGTCAGCTGTCGAATGTAAAAGTAAGTCTGTTCATAAAACTCCATTAATCAATTTAGAAATCTTTAGTTTATGCTACATTATTATTTAGGTACTAAATGGTCATTTTGATTTTATAAGTTTATAATTTGCAGTAATTTCATTAAAAATCTAGTGGTTGCATGACATATATTTTCCCACCTTTGGAGTCTTATTAGGTGGTGGTGTTCAATGATGTTTTCTTGCTGTCTGTAATAAATAGTGTAACCTTTTCCTTCAAAACCATGATGCAACCCAACGTGTACATTCTGTGAAATTAAAAATGGGGTATAATTCATTTTTAAAAAAATAATACTAATTTATGAAATACAGTAAAACAAAGTTATAACAAAGTCACCGGTAGATATGAAATTACTTTGCTACATCCGTTACTTCTTATATCCATATAATGAATTTAATTGTTAAATCATACAGCTGGGGATCTAAAATAGCTTCGATATATCCGTGTTCTTAGTAAACGAGTTTGCTGTATGTGAAATATCTTTTCTACTAGTGTATTTATCATCAGTTGTAATATGTCTCTCGCTCCGGTTTTAACTTTAGTACAATTTAAACAGCATTATAAACTTGAATCTACACTACTTGAGGCTTCTTCCAATGACTTCCATATCAGTACAATATTAATCATGGCTTTGCTGTTCTAGGGAAGATACTCCCATATACATTGCAATGTGAAACTTTGATCCCCATTGTGGCCCCATCCTATCCAAAGGAGGATTTAACTTAACCAATTTATTTATACACTACATCATCAGAGAATGCTTCCATATCATCACTTAGCTGTTCTTGAGAAGATTTTAAAAGATTGTTACATAAACCATTCCAAGTTTTCTATCTATTTTTTAAGATCCATGTGCGCCTTCGTTATGAATCCCCATGAGAAAATCCCTTTATTTTTCATTCAAAACTCATGACCAAGGTTAAAGTTTT